ATGGAACACAGGGCTAAGAGATCTCCCTGGACTACCACCATTGTATTGATAAGGTTGATGAATGATGATGATATTACCGTAGGGGTCGGTTTCTCTAAGCTTGATGCAATAAACTCGGTTTCCAAGATGCTTCATCTTTAGACAAGCTTCTCTGCAACCATTAAATAATAAAGACTAATTGTCTCCAACTCATTAATAACACATACAGAAACACATCCGTGTCTGCTCGTAATGGTGAAAAGAATAATGTGAGACAAAAGGAAAGGAAGGAGTTAAGGGATATGATACTGACCGTTTAGTTTGCACTCTGTTAGAGTAATAGCATTGATGTCTATTAGTTTGTAGGTCTTGAGCAGAAAAGTGAGAGACTTTATCAAGTTCGGATGTTGTTTCACATCTCCAAAAACCGATCGAAACAAAATCGAGTGGGAGATTAATTAATTAAAAGCATGAAAAACACATGTAAAGTTTTCTGATAGGGAAAAGAATATTGATATCCCTGGCTATGATCAAATCCCAATCTGGTTCAGAGACCGGAAATGCATCTCCCCAGTGTATCTGTCATGATAGACAATCATGTGAAAAAAAAGAGCTAAAACAATCAACCAAAAACGCCATTTCCTAGACAATAATGACTGGTAACTTACGATTGATAAATATACAGTAAAGAAGGGATGATCAATAATATTGTCTTCAATCTCCTGATTATCAAAGTCTGAAGTAGTTATGTTGAGATTGAACTCTTTCTTAAGAAATATAGATAGAGAACATGTGCCTTTGCCCATTTCAAGAAAAGATAAGAGAAAACCGATTAGTGTCAAGAACAGTGGCATATAAGGAGCTGTAACTTAGACTCAAATCAAAATCAGTTTTGGAATTTGAATTTCATGATTAGCAGAAGGAAAAAAGTTTATGAAGAATACACAAAAGAGGAATCGAAAAAGAAAAGGAAGCACCTTCCTACTTTGTGGCATTGAAAAACGTCTTGCAACATCTTCTGGACTCTCTCAAAATTATCACCTGGAATTGTCAAAATAAAAACCCAGAGCTGGAGAAAATAGTTTTTCTCACCTAGATCGATTAAAAACCCTGCATGCCAATATTGTTTCTTCATGTCTTCTGACATCGATTTAAAGATGTCACCATAACCAGTGACCGACATCTTACCCTCTTTCCGTAGAGATAATTCGATATTATGATAAATTAATCCAGGGTTCTCAAAATTATCAAACCTGTATGTGATTCTAAAACTAATCACGGTCATGTTATCATCATCTTTATTTTTTTTTATTGATAATCATGGTAAGAAAAAAACACAACCAATAAATTATGTATTCCATCTAAGTACAACTAAAGAGAGAGATAGGAAAAAAAAAGTATCACAATATGAAAAAAAACTGGAAATCGAAGACTTCCATGTTCATGGTATTAGAGTTCACATATTTCGAAGGTAACAAAATCATAGTTGGAAAAGAAGTTTTGAATTAACTCACCTCCTTTTTTTCCTCTAGAACCTGGTTAGAAGAATACGAAGAAGATGTAGATGTTAGAATTAGGGTTTTATATAGGTTTTCTTATATATATCTTAGGGTTTTTTTTTAATCGTGAATATAATATTTTAGGGTTACGGAGATCAAAACAGAATATATTTCTTATAAAAGAAAAGAATATATTATTTAATTAATTAACTAATGACCAAAAATAATTAGTAAAAAGGAAAAAGGAAAAGAAAATTAGTAGATTTTTATCAAGATTTTCATTAAGAGTAGTTATGTAATTCCGAGTCTGAGAGTTAACGTGGTGACTCCATTCGAAATTCTGACTTCGCAAATAATAGTATGATATCTAACAACCAAAATTTTATATTAAAATACTAATTACCCCAATATTAAGCACTATTGATGAGAACAAAACATTGACATTCTCTTACAACCAAAAAATAATATTTCGTTACTAGATTCAATGACGACGAGAGAAAATATAAATCGTTGTAATCGCCTGCAACATCAAAAGTTTCAATCCGAAAATGTCTAATGAATATGATTTGTGAGTAACATGAAGAAACATAGAAAAAAAACTTAAAAGGATCATTTATGTTCAAAATGACATATGATCACATTCATCATAAATAGATGGTTGGGGGTGCCGGGTGGACTAATAATGAGTATGGTAATGTATTTCAGAAATCTCTGAGCAGCCACATAGAAAAAAGGATCTTAAGTTCACACCTTTGTTTTACTCTATGCAGCTAATCCGTGGTACTAGCATGTAATTTAATAGTGTTAAAATTTTGAATTCCATATTTTTTTATTATTACCAAAAAGTCAATCATGTTGTATGTAATATAGCACAACTCATAAGTACATGTACAGATTGGACGCTTTCTGTGTGTATGTTTCTGCCATGTTTACATTTTACTTTTTAATTATTGCTCTTCTCCCTAATGTGACAATTCGATTCTCAGTACTCCGAATCTCAACAAGAAACAAGTTCTTATCGTACAATGAACTCTTTGGAGTTTGACATTGAAAGGTGATTATAATTCATATTTAAGCTCCAAAACTGATTTGACTATATACATTGTAATCATTGGCAAAATTTATGATGATGGTTACATGAATCTAAGCAAATAAGTTCTACATGAGGTTAGTGTTTTGGTTTGGCCCAATTTTTGGAGCTATAAGCATTGGTTTCAGGTTTGTTTAACCTAATGATGGCTTGTTTAGTAAGGATGGGCCTCGAATGATGGGACTCAAGCTTCTAAATTAGATCACTTCAAAGGGGAAAGAAAGCAATTAGAAGGACGAGTGCTGGAGACGCGCTAGTTTGGAGCCGTGGATGAAACGTGTGAAAATGGAGTGAGCAAGGCATCAGGACCGTACGTTCATATCACGTGAGGACACGTGGGGGAGTGAGCATGTACAAACAAAACTTAGGAAGCAACCAGAGAAACATCATTCGGTGTAGTAGTGTACCATAAAAACAGCACATATCATTGAGTTGTTTGTTATTCCCCAAAAACATAAGGTGTCAAAACAAGACTATTGTATTTTGATACTCATATTATTTACTATTGATGATTATCAATCTAATTTGTTTTAACAGTCTATAGCTTAAGAAGTTCGAGCTATGGTAGACAACTAGACATTAATTAATTATCAAAACTCAGTCGGATTGTTGATTTCAGCGAACAAAGCAATCTGAACAAAATAAATCAAATGTCGTAAGCTATGACATCTTTCATTACTGAAAATCGATTAATTACACATACATATAGTATTTGAAACTTATGCAAAACTGAACCAAAGCTTACAAATTATAATGAAACAAGTCAAGTAAGTCGAAGACATTACAATCTCCATTTGTTAATGTGATTATAGTATCAATATCCCATTTTATCAATTTAAAAGCTTTAGCACACATATATGACATATATCCCAAACATAAAACATCAATTATTTTTAAAACTGATCAATTATTGCTTGGAAAGGCAGAGAAATTGAACTGCGTTAATGGGAGGGTCTACGTCTTTAATCATTGACCCCCACAGAAGCATTGGTCGTGAACACGACTAATACTGATTACTAACCAATTAGTGGATTCGGGAAAAACAATCCAAGCTATTTTGCAAGCCATATGTGGAAGAGCTCTCCTTTTTTTGTTGTTACTATTTAACGTGTTTACTGTAATTGATTAACTATAACTGAAATCTTAGTGGAGTTTTTTTATTCACCTAAATTCGTATAGCTAATTTGTTTAGTTGTTTTTATCGGACCATTGTTTAATTAGCTATATGAATTTAATATATATATATATATATATATATATATATATATAAACTTATAGATTTTTTCTTTGCAATACATAAATGAATTTTATCGTGCTAAAAGTTAAACCACAACTAGCTAGTTAGGGCTATAATATCACGATAAACGATTCAATTTCAATTGCTATGGATATATCGAAACATTCAAGTTTGATTTCCATACTTTAAATTTCATTTCTCTAAATATTAGATCAACTACTCGAGAGAGAAAAATTTCCCAACAGTTCACTGTACAATAATAGGAACCCCACTTAATGTTTTTATATTACCCTGCCATTATACAGAACGTGTGATCTATCTATTTGAATTGACCCGACCGTTAGTAGGAAAATTAACAAAGAAATTATCTAAAAACAATTTGTTTATTGTAATGCAACTATGCAAGGTTCAGAATATTAGTAATAAAAAAATAGCAAACATAGATCGATTTAGTTTCATATTGTTATTGATGAAGCCCTACCAAATATTCCATTCATAATGGATAATTCATGCAACGATTTCATTTTTCAACGTCATGGATTTTGGTCTACCACTTGCACGTCACAACGTTTCATTTTGTGTGTGTACGTGTGTCAAACTCTTCATCCAGGTTTTAAACCATACGTTGTCAACAACTATGTATTCAAATATACAATCATATTATTAATATGCATTCGTTGGTGATCAACAACGTTGTGCGTGGTTTCTTTCCAATAGGATTTTTGCGAGGTATAAATAAATGTATATGAAGCCAAAACATGGTTGACGTACTTTTTCTAATAGAAGAAAAATCCTAAACTTAACCAAGTTGAAAAAATAAAACCACCGTTCCATTGAATGAATAAATCCCCAATTCTGCATTAGTCGAGTCATTTTAGACCTGACAAAAAAACATTAAGCTTTTTGAGAATAAATGAGTAACATTTCACAGAAATGTAATTAAAAAACAATCATTTCATAGAAATGCTTACAAGGTTTTATGCAGTTTTATTTCAAAAGATAAAAAAAAACCTTTCTACAATTCATTTTCATCATTTTTTTTTGTTAAGTTTCTTCCCAAACAAATACTGATCCATTTTCTGTCTCTTTGGTTTGACCTCTTTTAATTTTATCTGAGCAAGATATACTTATTTTTATGAACAAAAATACTGAACATAATTATCTGAGCAAAATACTGAATATAATTTTGGTGAAGATGATGTCCAAACCTGCCGAGTGGCCAGCTTTTGCGATCTTGCTTGAAGAAGTGGAGAATTGTAGAGGGATGTTCCAGGCGTTCTCCCTTACATACATTCCTAGAATGAAGAACACAAGGGCAAACAAGCTAGCACGGAGTGCTCGAGCTCAGCCCCATGATGTGTATTACATAAATTCAGTTCTCCCGATTCCGCTTCCCGGACCGGTATAAGAATTTAGGCTGTTGACAAAAAAAAAAAAAAAAATAGAGCAGACGAAAAGGCACAGTGACACCCATATCCTGGTCGGGGGACGTGACGATGAAACCTCTGTTTTTTTCACGCAGAGAGACTAAATTTATGAAAACTTTCTTATCAGGAAACATTGTTCATCAGAGAGATTCATGGCACAAGGATAGCAAAAAAACAGGAGAAATAAGTTGAAAGAGAAAGGCGGAAAGACAACTTTTCTGTAATAATAACAAATTACTTGTGAGAGATGTGGATCCCACAAGCCATACCTAGTTTCATCTCTCGCTTTCGTTTAGCTTCTCTCAATTCTTTTTCCTTTTTTTTTTAAAATAACATTTTAATTCAAAGTTTTCACTTCTCCCAATCTCTGTCTCTTCTCTTCTTCCTTTTCAACAATATTTTCAATAGAATTAGAAGAAAATCTCTGAACAGAAAGAGAGAAAGACAGCGAGGGAAAGAGAGAGAGACTGTGTGTTTATGTGTGATTTTGTGTTTTTTCTTTTGTGTGATTTGACAGTGCCCATGTTTCTGTTTTTCGGATAAGGACCTCTAAAATCACTTTCTCTAGATATTCGAAAAAAACTTACTATTATCTCCAAAACTCAAACGGTAAAGCCTCTCTCTCTCTCTAATAACGATTCCAATTGCTCAATAATCCCAAAATCCCACACGCTTGATTAGATTTTTCCTCTTCTGGGTATTAAGAGACAACTCTTGTTCTCTTCTGGGTTTTGATCAAAATTCAATTTTTCTTGATTAAAAAAAATCTCAACTTTGTCTCCCCTGTTTTTTTTTAACCCCCTAGAAAAAAAAATTAGAGTCCTTTTCAAAGTCTATCTGTAAATGGCGATGCATTCTCCTACTCTATGAAAGCTCTAGTGTTATCGTCTTCTTTATTCTCTCTTTAATCTCTCACTTTCAAGTCTCAACTCCTTTCTTTCTCATTGATTGATACACCTTCTTCAAAGAATTTACTCAACGTCGTTTTTAATTGAGCTGGCTTCTCCTTCTTCAGGTGGATTCTCAATTAAACACCATCCCAGTTGATTTCTCGCATTCTTCATTTCCAAAATCCGGAAAAAAAATCCGGTTTTTAGGGTTCATCATTCTTCTGAAGTCCCTGGGTTTTAGTTAAAAAGATGATCTTGCTGTTGCTGGTGGTTTATTCAAGAAGCAGAGCTGTGTAAGTCCTCTTCTCAGATCTGAATCCCTGTACGAAAAATGAAGCATTTCCATTTTCATTTTGATTAAAAATGATTATTTTATTTCCCTTTCTGCTTAGATCTGCAACATCCTCAAAATCAATTGTTTTCCCTTAAAAGAAAAATCATGATTCTTCCTTATTTTGCTTTTCGGGAAGTGCTTTCTTTTTTCCCTTATGTGTGAAACCATAACTTTTAACTATTCATTCACACTTATATGTCAAGATTTCAAGCAAGCTTTTTTGGTATATACTCTTGAGATTTCATCGCCGTTTTAATTCCCAATTTTTACCAAAATTGATTTGACTCTCTCATTTCTAGGGTTCGTTATTCAAATCAATCCAAATCTTGCTTTTTTTAGAGCTCACTCTTAAAATCTTGAACTTTAAAACATCTCTTTGACTTTTTTGTCTTTTCTTTCTTTATCAGATTGGCTTGGATGGACTCATAAGGCTGCATTTATGGGATTTGATAGATTCTCAATAAAAGAAGAACTTTGGTTATGGATTCTCGAGGTGACAGCTCCAGATTCGGGCAATACCCTACAAAGCCCTCAAGGAACATGTCCTCATCCTCCTCAGCCTCTGCTGCTTTCTTCTCAGCCAACCAGTCTCCTTTCTTCTCTCCAAGATCTCCCAAAATCATCAACCAACAAGAACTCTCCGAATCCACTCGCTCCGATGCTCAATGCGACAGCTTCGAGCCTGACCATCGAATAGCCTCGAGCAGTGTGATCTCTTGCACGCCTTCTCGATACGGAAGAGGGCATGACTCATCTTCGTATACGCAAACATCTTCCGTCTCTGTTTCGTACAACAGAGTGAGATGCTGCGACGTGTTCTTGGGGTTACACGGACAAAAGCCATCTCTGCTTCGGTTCGCGGACTGGTTAAGAGCTGAGCTGGAGTTTCAAGGGATGAGTTGTTTCATGTCGGACAGAGGACGGTGCAGGAGCTCAAGAAAACAGAGGATCATCGAGAGAGCTATGGACGGAGCTTCCTTCGGTGTCATCATCTTAACGAGGAAGGCTTTCAAGAACCCTTACACGATCGAGGAGCTTCGGTTTTTCTCCGAGAAGAAGAATCTTGTTCCGGTTTTCTTCGATCTTGCTCCAGGGGACTGTCTAGTGAGAGACATAGTTGAGAAGAGAGGAGACTTGTGGGAGAAGCACGGAGGCGAGCTGTGGGATTTGTACGGAGGGATTGAGAGAGAGTGGAGAGAAGCCGTTCACGGGCTGTCTAGGGTTGATGAGTGGAAGCTTGAGGCTCACGAAGGTAACTGGAGAGACTGTGTTTTCAGGGCGGTTTCGTTGCTGGCGATGCGGTTGGGGAGGAGGAGTATTGTTGAGCGGTTAGCGAAGTGGCGTGATAAGGCGGAGAAGGAGGAGTTTCCTTATCCGAGGAACGAGAGTTTCGTTGGGAGGAAGAAAGAGTTGGCTGAGCTGGAGTTTGTTCTGTTCGGAGATGTTGCTGGAGACTCGGAGAGAGATTACTTCGAGCTCAAGGCAAAACCGATAAGGAAGAAGAAGAAGAAGAACGCTGTGACGCTAGGGTGGAGTAATAAAGGAGGTTCGGCGAAAGGGAAAGAGAAGGTTGTGTGGAAGGAGTCGGAGAAGGAGATTGAAATGCAGAGCACGTGTCATCATCATCATCGGAGCACGAGGAGGAAGCGGTCGACGAAGGTTGTGTACGGGAAAGGTGTAGCTTGCGTTTCGGGAGAGTCAGGGATTGGGAAGACAGAGCTGCTTCTTGAGTTTGCTTACAGGCATCACCAGAGGTACAAGATGGTGCTTTGGATAGGAGGAGAGAGCCGTTACATTCGTCAGAACTATTTAAATCTTTATCAGTATCTTGAGGTTGACGTTGGGGTTGAGAGCTGTTCCGATAAGACGAAGGTGAAGAGCTTTGAGGAGCAGGAAGACGCTGCGGTTGCGAGGATCAGGAAAGAGCTGATGAGGAACATACCGTTCTTGGTTGTGATTGATAATTTGGAGAGTGAGAAGGACTGGTGGGACTCGAAGCTTGTGATGGATCTTCTTCCTAGGTTTGGAGGAGGGAGTCACATTTTGATATCGACGCGTTTGTCTAGGGTTATGAACATGGAGCCGATGAAGCTCTCGTACCTCTCCGGCGCTGAAGCTATGGGGTTGATGCAGGGGAGTGTGAAGGATTATCCGGTTTCGGAGATGGATGCGTTGAGAGCGGTTGAGGAGAAGCTTGGGCGGCTAACGTTAGGGTTAGCGGTTGTTGGAGCGATTTTGTCGGAGCTTCCGATAAACCCTAGCCGGCTTTTGGATACTATTAACAGAATGCCGTTGAGAGAGGTTGTGTGTAGGGAAGGGAGTTTGTTGCGGCGGAGTTCGTTTCTGTTGCAGCTGTTTGAAGTTTGCTTTTCGATCTTCGATCACGCTGATGGACCGAGGAGTTTAGCTACGAGGATGGTGGTTGCGAGCGGGTGGTTGGCTCCGGCTCCGGTTCCGGCTTCTTTGTTGGCTTTGGCTGCTTATAAGCTCCCTGAGAGGCATAGAGGTCCGAAACGGTTATGGAGGAGACTGAGACGAGCGATAACGTGCGGTTTTGCGTCTTCGAGGTCGAAGCGGTCTGGAGGTGAGGCTGCTTCCATGTTGCTTAGGTTCAACATTGCTAGAAGTAGCAGTGTGAAGTTAGGGTTTATACAGATACACGAGCTTGTGAAGCTCTACGCGAGGAATAGAGTGTTGGTGAACGAGAACGCGCCGGCGATGGTTCAAGCGGTGATAAGCCGCGGCTCGACGGTCGAGACCGCGGAGCAGATATGGGCGGTTTGTTTCTTGATGTTCGGTTTCAGCAACGAGGCTCCGAGTATTCACTTGAAAGTGACGGAGCTGTTGAGTCTTGTGAAGCAAGTAATCTTGCCTCTGGCGATCAGAACTTTCATTACGTTTTCGCGGTGCAGCGCCGCGGTTGAGCTGCTTAGGGTGTGCACGAACGCTCTTGAAGCGGCGGACCAGACGCTGGTTACGCCGGTGGAGAAGTGGCTGGACAAGTCGCTTTGCTGGAGACCTGTTCAGACGAGTGCACAGCTAAACCCTGTTCTTTGGGAAGAGCTTGCTCTGGCTCGAGCCACAGTGTTGGAGACTCGAGCTAAGCTGATGTTAAGGGGAGGACAGTTCGGTTTGGCTGATGATTTGATCAGAAAGGCGATCTTTATAAGGACTTCGATCTCAGGAGAGGATCATCCTGGGACTGTGTCGGCTAGAGAGACGTTGAGTAAGTTAACGAGACTTTTGTCCAATGTTCATCAGATTCATAACACTTCACCGTAGTAGAGAAGATGTTTTTAGGACTTTCTTGTTGTAAAAGTTAAAAAGGTTAGTTTCTTGTTTTTCTTTTGATCATCATTATTTTAGGCATAAGAGTTAGGTTTATACAGAAGGTTAGTAATAAAAAAAAGCTGTTATGTAAGAAATTTGTCAGAGAATCCTTTTTTTTTTTACACAGTAAAATCTCTGAATTTTCAGGCTCTGCTCTTTTAACCTTTTCCTCGAATTCAGCTTGAGAAACAGATTTGTATCCAAAGAATATCAAACAAATCGTGTATGAATATGATATCCTAATTGTCTTCTGTGACTTGTGTCTAATATAAATAATCAAAAGATTGGTAAAGAATCAAAAGGAACTTCAAAAGCTTATGGATGTAAAAATGTTAATAGAACAACAATGTTTAATCATATACCACCACCACCACACTATCACCTAAAGCCAGTTTAATCAAATCTTCTATACCTTTATTAGCACTTCTTTGTTCCGTCCTTCTCTGTTTCTTGTTGATTATGATTCAGTGATAACCAATTCCTACGCCAAGAATAAAAGAAACATATATTCTAATATTAAGTAACTAAAAAAATCAAAAATGTATGAGAATAATGTGTGTGTTTTATTAACTGACACAAACCTTGTCACAAACTGGACAAGCCTCACTTCTTTCCATCCATTCAAGAATGCAAGCAAGATGAAAATCATGGCCACATTTTGTGAGCAGTTTCGGGTTCTCGATATCATATTCTGCAAACAAACAAACAAAACAGATTAGAAAAAGTTGAAGCTATCTTTAGTATGTAACTTTGATTGATATAACACAATACCTTCTAAGCAAATTGGACACTCGTCGATGGTTTCTCGATCCTTTTTTTTTAGATCAATATCAGACACATCATCAACAGGCCATGTTTTCTTCTCTGGAACACTCTGTGTGACCCCACCGCGAGCTCCTTCACTAGAATTGCTCTGAGTTGTTGGCAATTTCGACGGAGTTTGAATGTTTCTAGGCGCGAATATCAAAGGAATAGGCGGCTGAAGCGGTGCTGCGTATATGTTAGAGATTATGTTACTGTTTCCTGCTTCTGTGGATACCGCGGAGGAAGGTGGCGCAAGAGATAAAGGAACATGCTCATCTATAGTTCTTGAGTTCTGCAGAAAACAACAAAAGATAAGACAAGAAAACCAAAACAGAGTTTTTTTTGGGAATCATTGTAGAAGAAGAAGCTGTACTTCGGGTGTGCTCGGGAAACAACAGCAGCAGCAAGCCATTCTTTTTGGATTGTTAAACCAAGTATTCGTCTGTTCCTTGATCAGTGTGTTCTAGCTCTTTAGGTTACACAAAAAAACCTGAAATTTCAAGACCAAAAAGCATATAAAAACTCGTTATTGAAACTGATAAACCACATTTAAACAACATAGCTTTACACTAACAAGGAGATGATGCATACAATTGTATCTACTTCAATACACTCAAAAAACCTATAGTGTACTCAAATTTCATTAACCATACAAAAAGTATTCAAATTTCATGTATAGACATGGAAAATCATATGATCCTAAGAACAGCATGAGCTTACAAATAAAAAGACAGCTTGGTTCATAACAGAGATACTATAGTTACCAAAACTAAATCCAAACCCTAATAGAAGAAGAAGAAGAAGAAGAAGAAGAAAGAAACAGAGAGATCAAAGATAGAGACAGTAGAGCCATAATCTAACCTAGTGGATTTGAAACAAAAAGAAAGACCCTTTTTCTCAAAACTACCTAACAGAACAAACCAATACAGAACATAAGAAGCGAACAAACAGAGTTCGTGATCCTACGAAACAAATATGAAGGGACTTTTCACTTTTGTAACGGAGAAGAAGAAGTAATAAAAAGACAAAAGATGATTAATTACCCAAAACACAGAAAAGGAAGTTTTGATCTTTTCCTTTAAAATTCCGGACTTTTCTTATGATTCCTGGGAAGCTCTTGAGGTTTTGTGTTGAAACAAGGATTTTCTGAAAACCAAAAAAAAAGCGAGAGAGAAACGGAGAAGTCTGGCTGCGACGAGAGGGGAGACTTTATCAGAGATGAAATCAAAATTCAACCTTACTTTAATGGGTTATTTTGGTTGTTAATCAAACTTTTGTATCTATATTCATAAATCACAAACCATATCGTACAAGGAAACTCCGGATTTTTTTTATTAAATTATATTTTAGCATTCAAGTCCCTTGATTTATTTGGTTTTAATAATATGAATACCAAGTTTAAATACCAAGCTATAGCTTTTTTTGGGTCAAAGTAATTAAGTTAAAGCTATATAAGTATTCTCAAGCATATAACTCAATGTTAATACAATAATAACAGAGTCAATATAAAAATAATAATGATCTAAAGCACATTTATTCAATATAAAAAATATTTTAATTCTGAAAATATGTATGTATATCTATAGAGTTAGGTGATGATTGGTTCTCCCGCTACCACCCGCAAACGCAGCGTTTGCGGTTCGTAGCGGTTCTTAGCGTTTTATAACAATCACGACAACCGCTTTCAACCGCTCTATACCACTCTGTACCGCTCTATATCGCTGGAAATCAAAAGCTCCTTTCCGCAAGCGTTTGCGGTTGCGGGCGGTTGCGGTTTGAAAAAAAAAAAAAAAAAACATAATATCTCCAAATTTGGAATAAGGGTATATTTTTTTGAAAAATACCATAATTATGTTTAAAAATTTCGAAAATACCCTAAATTTTTTCTGTTTTGAAAAATACACTTTTAAAATGTAAAAAGTATGTTTTGACGTGATTTAAACAAAAAATAATAAATAATTACAAATTATAAACGAAAATTAAAAAATAATAAATAATAAGTTTTTTTTCAAATAAATATAGTATATGTTAAACTGAAACAAATTTTAATATTTTGGATCTTTATATAAACAACTTAACCTCATACACATTCAAACCAAATGAAACTTTAAATAAATTAAAACTTTACATATATTTAAAGTTTATAAATTATTAAAAATTTAAAAGTGGAGAAATATATCTTTCATTTTTAATGTTTATCTTTTGAAAAATTTAAATATTTTTGAAACTTTGCATAAACAACTTTAATCTCACCCCATTTAAACTTTATATAAACAATAATTAGAATGGTTTAGGATGTTAAAATGATACAAAATTATTATCAAATCTTAATATTTTATATTTCTTATTTGAATTTCGTTTTTATTAAATTAGGAATAATATTTTACATATAAAAAGTGTATTTTTCAAAACCAAAAAAAATAAGGGTAGTTTTCAAATTAAAAATTCATCAAAAAATATATTTAAAAAAAAATTATAATATGGTTATAAATGTTTTGAATAATTATATATTATTTTTATTTTAGTAACTTTTGGTTAAACCGCTCTTGCACCCGCTGGCTAACCAGTCAAAAATATCCCGCAAACGCAACCGCTATGAATTGCTATACCAGTCGTACAAACAGCTTTTAATCGCAAACTCCCGCTTCCGCAAACTCCCGCAACCGCAAACTCCCGCAACCGCAACCGCAGCGTTAAACCAGTCAGACCCTTAGTTGGCAAACAGAAAGATAATAAATCAGAAAGATGATTTTGCACATAAACTAGTAAAAAAAAATTATTGGATATGAAATCCCAAGATTTAAAACATTATCTATAAAGAAACTAATATAATATATTGGTGGGGCCAAAGAAGAATTGTTCTATTAGTGCATATCTTTTGATTAAAAAAATTATGTAAATATTTATATTCAAGATATGGATCCTGAATTCGTATTTATGGTCTCTATTAAAAAGCATACTCCTGCTCGAATTCAAATACGGTTTTCATTGGTAAAAGCATACTCTGATACGCAAAATATTATAGGAAAGAAGTTGTCAATTATCTTGATGTTACGCGATGGTCAATATCCTATGGTTAATATAAAATAATCCCAACCTTTAGCAAACGGACTCGGTTACGAAAGATGCTTATTATATAGTGTACAATTAATCAATTATATACGTCTTACATAGTCCTTTTATGTGATGGACTGATGGCATATAGCACCTGACTAAGCCCTTCTATTCGGTGGCATTACTTCAATCTTACGCTACTGCTTCCACAAGTTTAGAAATTCGATTTGTGTTGCTTTTCATTTGATTAAATGAGTAATTAAAAGCTTTTTGCATTTGAGCTAACTTAAATCCCTCTTTCATATCAACGATATCAAGAAAATTAGTTTAAACAAAGCTATTTCAGTATTTAATTTTGTAAACGAGTGTTGCAGGTAATCATGATTCGTACTAAGATATGCTACGTCGCATAACGGGCCCCAATATCTATTATACCTATCCATCTACGATAATCAGTTGCGAGGAAAGTACCAAATTTTCAAATACTATAACTAGTTTACGTGTTCGAATCTCTTCGCTCCACTTGAGCAGCTTTTGATTCCATGTCGGTCACTAAACACTAAATACCATTTGCTGTTAATTAGTCACCATCACATAAACTAAATCAAATACCTTTTTGACATAAACGCAACAGCTCGCAACAAAAAAACCATAGCTCTTTCGAGAGAAAAAGGTGTAGGTTCCAATATGAAAATTAGAAACAAACAGTGAGTAATAGTAGATACCAAGTGAAGGAACCAAAAGAGAAGAGCAATCACTTACAGTCTTAACACTTACTACATACACTAAAAGAAGAAAAGGACAACAATCTGGTTACTTTTTGACAAATGTAAAATATCAAAATCAAGGCATGAAGAGAATTTCAACGGCTTCAAAGAAGAGAGGAGCGATCTCAGGGGTTGGAGTCTTGACCGCGCATTTGAGACCAGGTTGACCCACCATTGCCGTTAGCTCGATCAAGAACGGTACGTCTCTCGGGACTTTGGCTGATAGATAGAGCACGTCCTGGTTCCCGTTTTTACGCTTTGCTATGAAGAACATGTTTGATGCAGCCAGCAAGTCAAGCGTTGACTCGACGCTCGTGATGGTTATCCCGGTGAATTCCTTCTGGACCTCGTTCGAATCCGGCAACGACCTCCATGTCTAAATCGAAAACAATGTTTTTATATATCAATAGTCAACATCTAAAGCACTTATTCATCATATTGTATAGTCTATTACCTCGAGGAAGGTTCCACGTTCCATTCGACCATCTTCTGAGAACAGAGCGTGAAGCACAATCTTATCGGTGAAGTACCAGACAGGCTGCTGATTGTTTTTGACAGCAACTTGCAAAAGAGAGCTGGTGGGACCAGTGGACATGTTCTGGAGCAATACCATTGGCAACATTGTCCTCGCAGATGATCCAGGTTGCAGAGGAGGAACCTAATATAGTACAAAGCCTTAGACATGAGTTTCGAGATACCAAGATAGTAAGTTTGGATGTGTAGCGTATTCAACTACTTTGTTACCTGAAGAGGTCCAACAGCTGCAAGGCCGAATGAGTTTTTGTTGAACTGAATCATGAAGCCATCAAGAACCGACTGCGAGTTGTTCTCGAGAAGCATGCTGTAGAAGACTTGACCGTCTTGGCGAGTTAACTGAGCGCTAATCTGCAGGCCTTGACCACTTGATGCTGGCAGGACAACAGGCAGCGGGCGACTGCAATCGATTTTAGATGAACCGATGAGTTTCGTTATCGAAGTAGATATGACTGAATGCAATAGAAAATTTTCACCATTCAAGCCAAACTTACCCTGATGGAGTTACGGGTTCATCTACAGGGACGATTGCGGCACTATCTCCCATTAGGTCGCCTAGAAGATCAGGCACAGGAGCTGGGGCAGCTGCTGCTGGAGCTTGCTGTGGGACATAGCTTGAGGTGGCTTGAGGGGAAGTTGCACCATCATTCGGATTGACAGATATTTCGCTCCCTTCCACATAGTCATCATCTTCCGTCTTCTGGACTGAGGTCTTCAAGCGTGTTACAAACGCCTCTGGCGGTTTGTGATACACAGAGGATAAGGTGGAGATGTTTGCAAGCAGCTCATCCAGGAGTGATGGTTCAAGCTGGTTTGAGTCGTCAGTAATCACTGGCTTCTCAGCTAAAACAACATCCTTTGCCGCCTAGTCAAAGAAGAGCACCGATGAGATTTTTGCTCATTGTCTAATGCATTTGAAACTAGTTGAGTAGTATAACATATCAAGGAAACATACCTCGGGATCAGTAGATAGAAGACGCCAGTAGATGAATGCACGATCCCTGAGATCAGGATTATCTGTCTCCACAGTAGCATTTTGCAAGACAACCTGAAAATTTGAAACATGGAAAAAAACAGGTATGTCGTTATATACATCCGTTTGAATCAATTAAGAGAGCAAAACGTGTGCTTCATTATGGTCATTGGCAGAACCTGAATCATTAGTTGTGGGCGTTCAGTTGGCTTCTTCAGAAATAGTTTGACTGTAGCTGTAAGAAGCTGCAGCTGGACCTGTGCTGGTTCCTCAGGGAAATTCTCCAGGAAGCTTTCAAGAAGTTCATCCGCATTATCGATTCTTTCAGCATATTCGCCAATGATCCAAATCATAGATGCCTTTCAAGAAGCCAACAAAAACATGAGTATGAGTTTGCTAATGTAAGATTTATTTCGGATAGGGAAGCTTTCAGCTATTTTACACCATGCAAACAACAAATTTTATTACCTTAGCTTCTGGTTCATCCAATGTGTCTAGACTCTCACAGAGTGTTGCAATTATGGACTCATACCTGCACGTTGTTTTGAATGGCAAGATTAGATAGAATTACAGCAATTTAGGATGCCACAACAAAGAAAATTGATATATATTAACGTACGTGTTTGGGTATCTTCTAAAGATATCTTTGATGACTATAATGGCCTCTTGAACAACATAGTTTACTTTGATCTTGATCAGTTCAAGTAAAACACTGATGCACCGTTCAGCTGCTCTTTCTAGTTTGATGGCACATCGACCTATTGCACGAACAGCCTTCCGAACAAAATCAACATCTACTTCCGTGGCATATTCTTTGAACTCCAGAAGAACCTACATTAGCATGTTACAGAAACCCTCACGATACACACCAAATAGAAAATCTTGGACAAACAGTAGATGATAAAAGTGCAGTAAGGATTACCTGGTCTATGTTTCTGTCAGACGCAAGTTTTATCATAATCTCCAACTTCTCCATCTTGACATAAATTGGGTCGTTGTACTTGCAGAAGAATACCTAAAGAAAACCATGCAACATTCTCAATATATATAAGAATCTATCAATTGCTTATTCTGAGAGTCTGCGAGACAGGATCAAGTTACCTTAATTTCATGGGCAAGAATGGTGGGTCTTTTTTGGACAATAAGGTTAATGTTACGAAGTGCAACATATTGTATCTCAGGTTCTGCAGAAAGCAATGTAACTAGGGGAGGAGCCATCTTCTTGCAAAGGTTTCGAATCACATCTGTACTAGTAATAAGCTCCATCTGCTGAAGGATCATCTGGAAAGCTCACGGAGAAAAAAAAAAAAGAGGAACAACATTAGAAAACTATGCCAAGGCATAAAGTAGACACTTTACAAACAAGTTTGACTGACGAACAGATGATAGTCCAGAGAAAAAGGTTTTATTTTTTTTACGTTTTACCTTAACAGCTGAAAGCACAACAGCGCAGTTGGCATGTTGCAACCTTGGAGTGACTCTCTCAACTATGTTTTCAGCTTCACGAGGATCAGTGGCTTTATACTTCGACAGAGCATCTAATATAAAAACTTGACCCCATCTGTGAAGAATCCAGACACATTTATTAAAATTGAATACTAGAAATATGTATCCTGCTGGACAATGTGGGTGTTTTATGGATTCCTTTCCCCAAAATTCAAAACCATGAGTCTTTATCTAGACGGAAAAAATCCAATAACAACAAAAAGATCCTAAGATGCCACAGTTATATGTTAGATACACAATAAAAACCATATATAAACTGATGCTATACCACAAGAAGCAAGTCATTTCACACCTCAACCAATTATCCTACTGTGAATATTTAGGTCAACCGATGTGTTCTCTGAGAACAAAAGCTAGCGATGATCTGACTACAAACAGACAATCAGAGACAATCTGAGTCAAAGTAGGAAAACAGAAATCAGGAAAGACTTACTCAGTACATTCATTCAACGCTGTAAGGAGCTTTGTGAGGGTAGTACTATTGATTTCAAAGACGGGACTAGTACTATTCTCTTGTATCTCTGCAAGGGCTGCTACAGCATTTGCTACAACCATTGGATTATTGTCTGATATTAAATCCTTCAAGGCTTCAAGGAAACCCCGATCCTCAACCAATTCAGCATTGATGTCAAACAGTTTAGCAACACAAACAGCTGCTGTCTTGCGGACATATGGATCATCATCCTGAAAAAGGGAAATTGCAAAAAGGCCAGGAATTACATTAATAGTTCATCAGTCGAGATAAATAAATAAAATTCTTGAGGGACACAAAGTTGTTGATACAAAAAAAAAAACTCAACCTTTAGGCATTTCTGAAGAGGATCACACAAATATTCTGTTATCTTATCAACACGAATGCAGCCCATCGTCCGCACAGCCAAAGCACGGATCAACGGATTTGGGTCTTGTGAATCCTGCGGAAAACAAAAGGGGTGTTTAACAATGCTAAGTTTCTTCTTTTTCTTTCCTTCTTCCAAAATCAGAGAAATACTAAGAAACTTTCCATATGTCAGGTTATTTTGTTCGGGTAGGCTACAGATGAGAAGACTATGAAAGTAGCTTAAAGTGTTACCTTTACAAAAGTATTTACTGCGAGGATAGCAAGATCTGGCTGGCTCTTGGCATAGTTTATCAGATACAAGTAAACAAGCTTCTTCAGCTCCAGGTTCTCCGTTTGCATGCAATTGACTACATCAGTGAAAAGTGATGAAACATCCTTTCCAACAGTCATTGCTGCAATAACCTTCTTAACAGCATCTTTCCTCTTATCCTAGGAACATAGAGAAGAAAAGAAAAGTTCAGAAACTGAAGCAAAAAGAGAAACCCATGCCACCATCTTGAATCAGTACCATTGGCGTCTAATTAAACTGTAAACTTTTGCTCAACATTATAATGTTAATTTCATACTCGTAGGTTTACATTTGGACCACATCAAAATATACTCAAAGAAGACCTGTCTGTATCTTTTTCAGTAGGCACAACCAGGAAAGTTGAGAATTCCCAAAAACATTAAACTTGTGCGAAGAAGATGCGAGTTTGATCAATAATCACTAATCGTCCAACCAATGCATAGTTCTAGATTCAATACATACGACCAACCAATCCAAATCCCGAAGAATGTCTCCGAGATTGCACACATCCATTTCTAGCTATTCTCTGAATTCTCTAAATACCAAAACCAATCTCCACCAATTTAATCGATCAATTCGAATCCAGAATCATACAGATCTACCAGAAAAATAATCACTAACATTTAAACGAATAACTAAGAGGAGATCCGAATCGTAAAAATGGCGGATCACAGATCCAGACATAGACCATTTATGGAATTAGAAGGGGGAGAAGAACCTTGTACTGTGAATTCAGCTCTTCCTTGAGCTCAGGGATCTCTCCCTTCTTCGTCGTGGAAAAATATTTGGAATCATGACCGCTCATTTCTCCCTTCTTCGACCTCGACACTTCTTCTCCGAGACGATGAGTGTTGACAGAGAGAGAGAAAGTCAGAACCCGAGAATTGCAGAAACATAGAGTTTTTCTCTCTTTACTAACAGGCCGATTCTTCAACGGGCCTTTTCGTAATTTAAACCCACTTGTTTTCTAAATCTTGGACTATTAATTCCAGTTTGGGATGGTTTTGGTAATTAGTTAAATTAATGGATTTGTTTAAAATTAAAGTTAATTTCAGTATAACACTACTGATAAAATTAAACCCACTTCTTTCCTAAATCTTGGACTATTAATGGTTTTGGTAATTAGTTAAAGTAATGGATTTGTTTAAAATTAAAGTTAATTTCAGTATGATCCTAAGTCCTAACACTATTGATAAAATTAAACCCACTTCTTTTCTAAATCTTGGACTATTAATTCCAGTTCGGGATAGTTTTGGTAATTAGTTAAAGTAATGGATTTGTTTAAAATTAAAGTTAATTTCAGTATGACCCCTAATACTATTGATAATTCTCAAAAGGCGTCATAAATTCGACTAGTCAACGCCAGTTGCCATCGAGGGAGAAGAAGAATGGTCGTAACGGAGGTCCACTATTGTCTCCATTTTACTCAAAGTTGACGATTGACAAGGATGAAGTCAGAAACACGTTTGGGAGAGGAAAGCCTTTAGATGTGATTTGATCAGATTCTCAAAGACTTTTCGAGTCTCTGATCCTTATCGCTTCTCGCCGTGGAGTTTTCTCTCTAGATTGACCCGTTTCATCATCGAATCAATTAGATCGTTGACGAAACATGGCGCCGAAAATGGATGTGGAGATGATGAAGCAACGCCAGAACTTCCGCAACGTCTGGCATACGGATCTCACCCACAGCATCCAGGGCGATACTCCCTGTAATTTCTCACTCTCGATCTTCTCCTCTATTTTGAAATTTGTGTTTGATCGATTTTGGATGTTGATCGTGCATTTTCTGTGTTGTTGTTGTTGTTCGCAGATTGCTGCTTCGCATTGTGGTGGTAAGTTCTGCTCGATCTGAGATTTTTCGTTGCTTACTCTCTCTGTATTTGGAATTTGAACATTTCGAGTAGTAGCTCTTGTTTATCTGAATCGACGAAGATTTGACTTTGAAATAGTTAAGGGAGTGCTCTGAATTTCACAGATAATACGAGTTTCTCTGATCGTTGGATTTGTCTATGGAGTGTTCATTGTAAATAGGACTTTGACTTTGTATGATTTGTATCTCTTTGGTGTCTGCTTTGTTCCATACATATGAAATGCTCTGTGGTCTTCTCCTTGCAGTGCCCCTTGTGCGTCATACTTGCTCCGAAAGCGTGCGCTTTACGATGATATGTCAAGGTATTTCACTCATTAAGTCACCTTCACATATATCCATTCCAATTCGATTCTCTTTAGTTCTAAAAGACTTTTCTTTGTCTCACAGGTATGTATGCTGCGCCGGTTACATGCCTTGTAGCGGCAGGTGTGGAGAAAGCAAATGTCCTCAATTTTGTCTTGCCACTGAGGTAAGGATCTTGATTTTGTAAGCTAGTATCTTTAAATGAAGTCTTTTTTTTTATAACTCTATAGTTAGTCTAGATATTTCAATTTCAGCATCTTAATGCTTCCAGTAACATATGCTTACAATCTCAGTTAAGCCTAGTCATGACTGATGTTACCAAGTTTCCGCTGCTCTAAGTATCAAAACAAATGCAGGTCTTTTTGTGCTTTGGAAACTCTGTGGCCTCGACTCGTTTTCTTTTGCAAGATGAGTTCCAAATTCAGACGACACAATGTGACAACTGCATCATTGTAAGCAGATTCCTGTTATTCTGGTTATTGATGCACACAAGCAACTAGAACTCAAAAAACGAGTGGCCTAATAATCTCTTGACTCTTGGCTGTGTAGGGATTCATGGTTTGCCTTAACCAAGTAGCTTGCATATTCTCCATTGTTGCATGTATCGTCGGCATTGATGAGCTTTCAGAAGCTTCTCAGCTGCTCTCTTGTTTAGCAAACATGGTCTACTGCACGTAAGCATCTCCTCATCTATAGCTTCACTCTTCTTACTAGACTTTTTAACCTTTCCTTCTGATGAATCTTGTTTTGCCTTCACTCGCAGGGTTTGCGCATGTATGCAGGTAAAGTGATGATATCAACCAACTTCAGTCTCACCTACTATATAAGTATATATATAGTCTTCCTAATGGAAAATCTTATCAAACTTTTGTAATGCTTCTGTAGACACAACACAAGGTGGAAATGGACAAGAGAGACGGTAAGTTCGGTCCACAGCCAATGGCAGTGCCTCCGGCTCAGCAAATGTCACGGTTTGATCAATCCACTCCACCCGCAATCGGTTATCCTCCACAAGGTTATCCTCAACACCCTCCACAAGGCTATCCTCAACACCCTCCGGCGTATTCTCAATACCCTCCCGGTGCTTATCCTCCTCAATACCCTCCTCCTGGTGCTTATCCTCCTCAAGCTTACCCCAAGTGATCACTCATTGCCTGGTTTCTCTTCCGACTTGGAAGACTTTTTTTTTATCTCATCTCTCTTTTCTTTTCACTTTCACGGCGTTGACATTTACTATGTGTACTGCTCAAGTGTTGAGCGTTCGCGGATTGTTTTGAGGTCATTGTTTGTATAAAGATTTATCTGAGACGTCCCTCTTGGACCAAAGAGATTTGATGATTTTTCATCTTTCCTTGAGTTTTCTTTTTTTCCGAAAGCATACAGAGTCGAATACAACATACCAAGAGTATTTCATTAAGAGATCTAGCTTTATAAGTAACGAATTTAGTCATTTCTGAGAGCTCAATGTGTTTATGTTTTCAATATTCTAGAACTGTAATCATCATATTTTGAGAGAAGAACTAGGACGGGATCTCAATGAATAAAATTTTATATCGTTGCAAAAAATTACGGGGGGTAAACTAAAAACAGCCTAAAAACATCTAATTTTGCTTCCCTTTCAAAAATAAAATTATTACAAAAAACTATATTAGAAAAAAAATTACTTAACCTCAGTGACTTCACCTGCTCTACATACACCAACATTGATCCATAACGTATTATTCCTCTTTGTTTGTAACACTCTGCAACAGTTCCTCCTAGGTGACTGTACAAAACACAAAAAAATCCATTTAAGTAAACATAACATTTATTCACATTTTTAACCATTTGCTAAGAAAAATGATATTATGAAACTTACCCTTTCCCATAGATGAGGGTCCGGTTTCTTGTAGACGACGATGGTGTTAATCTCAGCCGGGTTCGTCATCTTCCACCGGCAAGACGGATGCGGAACACGGTGTCTCGTGTACTCGCTAACCGTCGTGTTCAGCTGCGGGTCGAACTTCGTGCTCGACATGTAGAACACAAACGGTTTTTGGCACGGGTTACGGCTAACCGGCCTGGTGTTGAACGCATACGCGGTGTAATCCGCTCTCTTGTACCAATTCAAGAAGGTTCTTGACGGCATTTCCATTTCCCGTGGAGAGAATATTCCGCGGAATATTTGGACCGCGTAGCCCCACGAGACCGAGACCGTCCAGCTCTTTTGCTTCTCGTAGCATATAGACTGCTGGAGAAGCCCGGCTGAGTCGAGCTTCATCGGTACGGTTAGCTTCTTGAGAGCGCGGACACGTGTCATGTTTGGGAAGATCGGTTCCACTACGTCGAGGTGGTGCATTGAGACGAACGGTGTTACTGGGTGTGCGGCAAGGAGACCAAACAGGTTCCCGTAAACGTCGTACTGAAAACGGACCAACAACAAAATTTAAGATGTTAAGAGCGTGGGATACACGTACTACATGTGCGCGTAGGAAATTATGAGAAGAACAAGTCATTTAAGTGTAAAACAGAAACGCGGGTCCCACTCTTACACCTGTATTCAATGAACAAATCTAACTAAGTAAATAGACCTACTCACGCGCCGATATGTCGGTACCGAACAACGGAAAATTTGCCAAAATAGCATCGAAGAAAAATTAGAACAAAGAAACGAAACTTTCTTAAGATCTCTTCTTCACAGAAGCTTTCTTAAAAAGAACATTATAAACTTTGAATGTTTAGTACTAAAGCCATTGTCCCAACAACTATTCTTTCAACTGTTCCTCAACATAACTCTTAAAGTCTAAACTTTGTTGAGTATTCTCAAACTGAACTATTTGGCTTAAAGTCTGGAATACATTCAATACTAATGTCAACAAATCATTAAGAACCCAATTTGGCCTATAGTAAGACTCAACATCATTAATTCCCAATTCATTAACTAATCAAGAATATCTAATTCCATCACAATTAACCAATTGACAAGAACACAATACTAGCAATTACTACACATTTAGCTCAAATCAATCAAATGTCACTGAAATTCTCCGACAAAATTATGTTTACCTGGTGGAAACCGAGTTCTTTAGTGAGTGGAACACCGAGTTCGGCCATACAAGCTTGCATGCGATCGTCCGATCCATACAATGCCGGATACCTCTGTATACACCGATCTTGCATCTTACTCAAAGCCTTAGCCAGTGGATAGCTTATAGCGAATCCTCCTCCACCGTAAGCCATCCCGTACGAGAAAAATATGTTCTGCAGATGAGATTCCGACAAGCTCCCGATGTAATACATCTGCTCGTGGTCGTACTTCCTCAGCACCCTGATGAGATTATCCGTGACGAACACCGTGTCGTCATCGCCCATCACGAACCACCTCACGTTCTTCGGACCCAAACGCAGCGTCTCCGACACGATCCTCGAGATCCGCAGCGCCGAGCGTTGCCCCTGCTTGTTCGTGTAAGGGAAAGAAGCGGTGCCGCCGGAGATTTTCACCGGCGGGAGAAGATCGTCGTCGTCTTCGACGTCGGTGCTTTTCTTCTTCACCTCTTTGTCCAGCCAGACGTATCCGCGCATGCGTTTCGGTTTGTACCAGATCTTGATGTACTCTTTCCTCTGTTTCCATAGCTTCGACGACGCGGCGATCCCGAACACCACGTGGTTGAGATCGGTCGGGTCGTCGACTCTGTCTTCTTCTTCCTCCACCACTTCCCACTCGCGCCGCCGTGAAGCCGCTGCTACTACGGAGGAGGTGGTGACATTGGATGCGTTGGTGGAGACGGCGGCAGCGACGGTGGTGAAAGGAGTGGAATCGTCGCAGGAGCGTGAGGTGGAGACGAGCTTAAGCATGTAGATAATGTAAGTGAAGACGATGAAGCAGATGAGCCAAACCATAAGCTTCGGACCGGGTCGGGTCACCGACAACATTCCCGGTATGGAAGTACTCGATGAGCTCCGATCCCATATGGGTTTCTCCGACGAATCTTTCTGGTTGCCTTTCATCCAATTTCGTTTCTTTTTTCTCCTCTTCTCTCACAAACCCTAGTTTGTCTGTTTGAAATTCGGGAAAGAAGGAAACAGTGTGTCTCTGTAGCTCTTGATTCGTAACCCAGAGGAGAGAACGAAACCGAAAAAATTGGATCTTTCTACCTCAAAAAGAAAGATGAATATGAATGAGATTGAGGAGAGAAAGAGAAATCGAGAGAAAATAAGGGAAATTACATAAATGTTGAATTTTTATTATTTGTTGCTCCTCTATGGGAGAAAGAGAAGAAAAGAGATATGGAGACAGATTAAAGGTGAGAGAGAGAACGCAATACTCTCCCACTAGAAAGTAGAAGCTCCATAAACGCAAATCAATATATTAAAAAAAAGAAGAAGAAGATATTATTAAAATAAATGAAAAATGGGGCTGTTGTCTTTATTTTGTTTTTTTATTACTTTATTTCTTATTTTTAGAATATTTATATTATATTGATGTTGAAAAATGTAATAAAATATTTGGTGTTACCGTAATAAGGTTTATGTGTGTTTCAGTCTTTAGTGTTAGATGAAATTGAAAGGGAAAGCAATCGTAAAAAAGAACGAGCGGTCGGATCTAGGCATGGGCAAATTATCCGTTATATTTGCTTCGATCCGTTATCCGTTCCGATTCGATCCGAAAAATCCGGATAACCGTAATTTTACAAAGCAAAGCAAATACTAAAAATTAATATCCGTTAAAACCGGAGCAAATCACAAATACTGAAATTTTAAAAGCCGGATATCCGATCCGCTCCGTTATACATATAGATATATCTATATATATAAAATTACATATATAAATTGGATGATTGTTATGTTTATATCTAAATTTTATAAATCTATATTCATTAAATTGATTATTTAAACACTAAAAAAAATAACTACTAATAGTTTTTTAATTAAAATTATATTTTTGTGTTAAAAATTGATTTTTCTGAAATTTTTTAAATACAAATATTTTTTAAAATATTTACGGAGTGGATAATTCACGGATATTAAACAGAGTTACGGATATCCGGATCAAACGGATCGGAGCGGATAATCCGCGGATATTAAACAAAGTTACGAATATCCGGATTTTCGGATATCCGAAAATTTTCGGATCGGATCGGATCAGAAAATCAAATATCCGGACGGATCGGATCGGATCACGGATACCTGTTTTTTGCCTAGTATTTGCTCCGTGCCCAGGGCTAGTCGGATCTATGAGTATGTATGGGTCCTACTCTTTCTCGACTTCCCACGTGGGTCATACGGAACTATCTACGTGTCACTTTCTGCATACTAAAATTGAAAGACAAAGCTACGTCGTTTTTCGTAGGCTCGTTTTTTCCAGCAAAGGGAAGGTTGTGGGCCTTTGTAGCAATTTACTGGCATTGTGTTTAATGTTTACTGCTTTATGTTTTTTACCTTTTGTTTTCGCTAGTGTATAATACTGTAATGTACATTTTTCAGTGGATTTGAGTAGCTCCACGTGTTTGTGTGTATTTTATTACATCTTACATCAACCTAAATGGCTAAATCTAGTTCTTTTTAAAATCTTAATAATGGTTTTTAGATTTTTTTTTTTTTTCTTTTTATAAAGGGTTTTTAGATTTGGTTACTGGAATTCTAGATACTCATATCATATGCATTGATTAAGAATTTTTAGATGCTCATATTCGTTATTCAGCACATATGCAGGCAGTAGCATGTTTTTAGTAAGCAATCTAATTAGTTTAATACTCTAAAGTTTTTTTCTGTTTTTTGTCAACTTCTTGAAAAAACTATTTTGGATGTACTAGTACAAAAGTCAACTTATATCTATATTTGCATACATAACAATGAATAAAAATTGGTCATTTTATCAATAATTATATGAACTATACACATAAATCTATATGTGCATAAATTAAATTCGTTAGAAACTGCACAAGGAAGACTTTAACATTTGGGTTAAAAAGAGACAACTATGAATTGGTACGGATTTGATTTCGCATCATATGTAAATTTGGAATTTATTTTTCGTAAAGGAATGTTAGTTGTGTTGGAATAGTGGATAAACATAGGTAGATGTTTCGTCCACTAGTGATAAGTCCGATGAAGGATCCGTCCCTTCGACCATGTCTCATAAACTGCCTCCTTATCACGATACATGGTTATATATAGAGTATAGACATATCACATATTGATAGGATATTTTTCGACCAACCAAAGATTACAATGCTCCTCTCGAATATGATGTGATCAGTGTATGTGTAGTGTAGTTACTTTCGGGAGAACAAATCAACGTTAAAAACGACCAACACGAATTGGCATTCCCTTTTCGGGTGAATTATCATCATCTTTCCATCTTCCTCCACTACAAAATGGTGACGTGATTAATTTCATAACTCACCTACCAAAAATGTCATAAAACTAAAAGTGACTTCAAAAATTCGGTTACCAAAAAAGCTTTTAGCGGGTCCAACCGGATTAGTTGATGACATACTGGAAAATTTCCAGTGGGCAGGCAACAAATTTATTATCTTAAATGTGAAGTGATTTCAACATAAATACTAATAAAAGTCAACTAACCAAATTGTTAAGACAGAAAACTACAACAATGATTGTTCTTTTCTTTTATTTTCTGTTAGATAAAGATCATAGATGATTGTAACTACTACTCTTTTTGGTGTCTGACGTTTGTGATACGTGATATAAAAAGTAAAGATAGATTTGGTAAATGATTTTCTTTTTTTGGTTGACTCCAGATGAATATGATAGATAATTAAACAAATCGAAGAATATCAAACTACTTACATGACCAATTAACTAAAAAAATCATAAGAAAACGATGGGACTCTTGTGTTTTTATTTTGAATTCAATTGTTAAGAACTAATAAGAAGACACATGAGAGGGGTTTGCTGCCCCATTATTAAATACTGTATTACATTCTCCTTTGGATTCTTGATTGGTACTGTTCCTGTCGTCTTCTTAATAACTTACTCTTAAAATAGAATTATGAAATGAATAAACAAAAAAACGTGTATATGTACCTGCTCTGCATTCTTTTTATTATTTTTTCTGGCCCAGCATTAGGGCTATTGCAGAATGCAGAAGGATATCATATTCTATATGCCACTTTACATGGGTTTGGTTTATATTAAATTTCTCCCAACTAAATTATTGCTTGCTATTTCATTCAGCATTTAGCTTTGGATGAAACACGCACGTCTCTCTTCCTCTTCAAGAAAAGACTAGAACCACCATCGATTCTCCTGATAGTGTTTCTAGGTGCATCGGTTTCTTGATCAGCACGTCTCTTCTTGAACCTACATCTCTGAGAGTCTGAGACAATGCTCCTAACCTCGCGGGAACTTGTTTTGATTCTTGCGTAGTGGTAGCTTAGCGCATATACAAACATATGTTTATGTGTACCAGTGTACGCTTATATATTGATTTTGGACCCAGCATTCAAGATTGATTACAACAAAATTCAAATGATGCGTAGAAAATGTAATTTACTCTTAGACGTTCTTGAATTTGGTCGAGGAATACTTAATAGTATAGTGAATGGAATAATAACAGTTTTTACTAGATGCTTATAACTACATTACAACAAAACTCATTTTATAAGTCACAGAGTAGTATAGTGCACATGACACATGCAGCTTATAAAGAAAGAAAACAACCAGACCAAGTGATCGAGTTACAATAAACAACATCAAACCGTAAAAATCATCTTACAACATCAAACATTATCTCTAAAAAAACCATCTTACCAGATTATGGCTAAGACTCGGTTATTATCTATAAGAGAAGATTAAGAGATTACTGATTAAGAAAACGTTTGCAGACATCTCATGAAATATATATTACGGCTGCAACTAGCCGTCTTCATCACGGCTAGACCATGACTGAAGAAGGGAATACATGACCAGCGGACCGACAAATGGCGAAAATGGCGGTGGTCTACTGAAGGCAACCATTGGCTCTGCCGTTTCCTCAATCTTCTTCAGTGTTTCTCCTTCGCTATTGATCTCGTTCACACGTTTCTTCGGTACTATGGTTCTCACCAATTTACCTGCTTTCTCATCAAACATATTCACTTATTTTATCTTCTTTCTCCATGACAAACTTAAATCATATGAAAGTGAGGATAGGAGGATTTAGGGACAAGAGTTACCTTTTGATCCTGAGACCTGGAAGATCGGTTTGAGCTTTTCTGTGAGAGCAAGAAAACGCCGCATGAGGTTAAGAATGACGTATGTCACTATGTGATCTCTCTCAGGCTTAACCTGTTTGGAAATGGATATCGAAATTATTTCATGAAAGTCATCAAGCGAGCAATACAGATAAATGAATACACTTTAAACAACAACGAAAGTTTTAAGGATCATATGTATATTTTCGAGTGTCAATTTCAAATTCTGATCAAGAACTTCAAGAATCGCTTGTTTAATGTAATAGGAAATTAGGAATTCATCAAGCAAGAAAGAAACGCAGAACAAAGCATAAGAGATTAAAAGAAGTAATACAACTGAAGTTAACCTTCTTAGTAATTTAACAACAACATTTAACACGAACACGACATTAGTCGACCTGGTAAATTATGCTACTTCGAATTAGATAACAACATCGGAAAAGATATAAAAGACAAGATCAAATGAAAAACAGAGATTAAAGTACAAGACTAGAGGATGATCATAGTTACCGATTGCAAAAGCTGAGCGAAATGAAATGAGTGTCTCTGTTTCTCCTGTCGTAAAAGATTTTTTTTTCTTTCTCCAGTGATCAAATTGGAGATTTTGAGTGGGCAGAGGAAGGTTTGAGAAGGTCCGGGACACAAGGGTTAATTAAACAATTTATACAATAGCCTCATATGCTTCCATTATTTCCCATTTGCCCCATATCAAATCTATATTTTCACACAGATCCAAACCACGTGGCTTTCATGCATACCGCGTATGGTGGTAGTACATTGTCGTTGCTGGTCTGCATCTTTGATGAGTACGTACTTATACATCGATTAAACGTTTGTATTAAGAGTCCAACTAAAAAAAATATTTGTCATTTGGACTGGAATGAATTAAAATTTATACTATAGAAGTATAAGAATTGATTGATAGACAGTTGTGATCTTTAGTTGAACAATTGTATTGTTGGTCGAAAATGGATCAAGCCTTCTACGTACTACTTCTATTTTTCTACTATAAACATTTTACATGACAATACAAACTTCAGATGTCTACATATTTTAAAATCAATCCGGGCTTCAGAATACATTTTTCAGTTACATTACAATTTACAAGTGAGAAGAGTATTTTAGTTTGAATTGCCATGTGTGAAAGAAGAAGCTCCATTTCCCGAGCTGCTAAAGAGGAAAAAACTTCATTGACCACGAAATGTAAAGCAAAATGCAATATAAATAGGAAAAAATAGACAATGTTTATAGATCAATAGATATTCATGACTAGAAACCATTATTCTACAAGTTTACATAATTAACTGCAAACTGAAAACACACGTTTCCGTACGGCCATATAAATAAATAATGTGAAGAGATATAGATAAAGCTTTTCTACACATATATTTTAGGTTTAAATTATGGTAAAAACCTCATTAGAGCAAGACACAAACCCTAGTTTTAATAACTTCATTTAATTCCTTTACTTATCTCCAAATAAGTATCCAAGAGATGAACTTCCACCAGGAACTGATTTCACCTTCGTCGTTGGACGATCCTGAAGTTGTTATAAACATCACAACTCTTATACTTTTACGTCTATATGTTGCGAAAATTTCTATCTGACAAAAACAAAGTATATAAATTAATGTTAGAAGAAATCAAAAGACTTACGGTGACGAAGTTGCCGGAGTTTTGGCCCTGAGCTCTCGGGTAGTTGTTGTTGTTTGATATCTTGGGCTTTTGGTCAGCTTTTTCGTCGTCGGTGGAGTCTACGCCGTACGGTGGTGTAGGCTTTGGGGCAACCGGTGGAAGATTTTTTGGAATCTCATTGTCTGATCCAAAAAGATAACCTAACGAGCTTTGTCCGCCTCCAAAGCTCCCACCTCGACTCATTGTTCGGTTGTTTTGATTGATTGTTTAAACGCTGATCAAAGCTTATTTATTTAGTGCTAAGTATTTGTGAGTTTCTCAAAGCCAAGTGATAAACAATAAATGTAAGAGATCTAGCTAGAGACAAGCTTAAATAGAGGTGGCAGTAGAGGATATTACTATAAGAGGTATATAACCTCATACGTACGTATCAAACTGTTTAAAATGTAATTTTGAGTTTTGATAAGTTTTAAAATTATTTTATTTAAAAAAAACAATTCCCTATCTACAAATATCACTTCAACCTGGTTTTTGTCACCACACACACACAAACAAAAAAAAAACGAAAACCCACGTTCTTCAAAGGTATTCTAAAAGCATTTCTAGTTTGAATCATCTTAATTAAAAGATTTAATTACAAATAGCATTTCGGTTCTTCCATATGGTGGAAGAAAAGTTCGTTAATTGTCTACCTTTCAGTCTTTCACCTATCAACCTCCATCAACTAGAATGTACGGGATGTTTTCTTCAAACGGGGGCTAAGAAACCATATGTAGAAGGCTGAATGTTTGCTAAAGAAAGGGAATTGTTGAGCCGTTTATAATTTGAAAAGCACTTCAAAGCTTGCAAGTGCTATCAATATTTGAGCCTTGTGATTGCAAACTTTTTGAAATTGCCAAAGCTTCCAATATAATTCTCCAACCAAACATATAAATCTTTGACGTCATCTTCATATTCCATATTCTGTTTTTCAAAAATTGTGTTTGTTCCTCAAATGATTTGTAGCTTAATCGCCACAAACGAGTATTGTTTACTATTCGAAATCAGTTGGTAAAAAGGAAAACACCAAAATCTCTCCTTTCAATTTTTAGTAAAAACTAAAAAGCTTCCAAAAGCAACAGAAGATTAATTTGGTGGTAAATTGTATCATCTATCTTAATCGACAGGACCATGTGGGTTGGGTCGTATCTTTATTATATTTTAAAAAAATTCATCTCAAACTTTTGGTATCATTTCGTACTGAAGGAATATTTAGGAGGGGGTATTGGCATTCAGTATTTCAATTCCTTTCAATTCCGGTGTTATTCAACGTATCAGTTTTTCAATTCCATTAAATTCTGGTGTTATTCGATATCAAGATATATTTGGTGGTATTGTTATTTGGAAGGAATTTAATAGAATTTGAAGAAAACTTTGTAAAGGCTCAATTCTTCCAATTTTTGTAGTCATTTCAATAGAATTGATTTTAATTCTCTAGAAATACTTTAAAATACTTCAAAATTCATTACTTTTTAATTCTTTTCAATTCCTTGTAAATCTACGCACCAATACCCCCCCCCTTAGTATCGTAAAACTGGTGAGGTTAAATCGAAGAGTGTGATTGCAACTTAAGAATATGATATTGCTTTATTCTTTAAATGGGAGAAGTATTCCCAAAGAAAAATTACTAAATACTATATATGTACAAAACCATCATTTCGTAATAGGACATTCATTGTTTAGTTTGATGATTGTGTTTGGGTATGTTTGTAAGATTGTGCTTAGTCGTTTGTATGCTGCAATTTTAGAATCCAACGTGGCAATAGTTAATTTTGTAGCAATGTTAACTATATCCACTCTCTAAAATCTTGTAAATAGTTGTAGAACATATAGTTTTCAGCCAGTTTGTAAACATTTTTATTTCATTTCGTAACCATATATTTGAACCATCTATATGAACCACTCAGTCGAATCAACCACATCTATATGTTCATTTGATAATCGAGGAGGCGGTTCACAACCATCCATTTCAAGTTTTCAACACGGTATTCAAATAAGCATCCAATCATAATCATTTCTAAACCAAACCAAAGAAATATCAACAAATTTTTAAAATATACTAAAATATCCCCAACTCTCGACGGCTGCAGAGTAATCCTGAAAAGCAACTAAAAATCGTCCGCATAAATTGTTAAACAAAAGTTAAGAAAAACAATATGATTGAACAGTACAAAGAAGTATAAGCCTTGTCCACTACGATCAGTCGGGTTGGAAGGGCACTGGTAGGACATCGATAGAGTGATCCAATTCATTAACTATATTATATAAGTTGATCGTAATAATTAACATTTGTGTAGGTAGATATGTCCTTAATTACACACCTAATTAGTCTTTATTAAAGCCACTTTAAGCACCTAATTACTCTATATATTTCAAATCAGAGACAAATGTATCACTTTAGGTGCTTGGATTGTTTTGATTGAATCTTGAAAAGAAGTACGATGTTTGCCAATCAAATATTTTGTATAATAAAAAAAGAGAGGGAAAATGATTGAATATGATTTTGAACGGGCTAGCTAAACTAATGGGCATTAGCTGGATATGGCTTTTGAATGGGCCTGAGATTTAATTAATGCGGGCCTAACATTACCGGACTAACCTTTAACTAATGGCTCTTCTTAACTAATCGGTTCATGTAAAATCCCCGTCATTTTGTTTTGTGTAATATTTTTTCTATAAGTTTTATTGCGATTTTTTTCACATGTTAGATTAGCAAAACGTTTACAATATATATTATAACATTTTAAGGTTTTTAAAAACGTGGGAAAAATAAATATTGTTGCGACTTAAAAGGTAAAAAAAAAAAGAAAAGGAATGCCATGCACGAGCTAAGTTTTGGATTATACAGAAATTAAAACTGATTTGCCTTTCACAATTACTAAATAAAATATCTGCTCAAAAAAAAAAAAATTGTTCCCTCTCTTTATCTCTCGTGCACTCCACCACTATCGATCAAAATGCTTGGTCGGTTGCTTCGAAAATTCCCGTGACTTGTGTATTTCCTTTCTCCCAATTATTATTATACCAACCCCACTTTCGTTATACAAAATAATACACTATTCACAAAGGAATCACGATCTCTAAAAAGTTCTTATTACATTATTCCGTTATATTAATAGAACAGATTTCCATATTTTTGTTATGTACGTGTATATGACCATTAAAAAAAATCACAAAAGAAAACGTAAATTCTCTTCAAATGTTGTGAATGTCAACTTTATCACAAAAAAGTTTGTAAATGTCAATCAAATTGCATAGCCGTGTATTATAGGATACAGAAAAAGTAAAGATGAAGCATGTTGATATTATCTTGGGTTGTACTTTTATCCAAATATTATACTTCTTGCAGATGACGGAAGATAAATAACTAAAAACAAAAATAGATAAGAAAAAATATAGAGTATAAGAAGTGGGAGAAGATAAAAATAAATATATTCACGGCTTCATGCTATTGCGGAGGCCACCTCACGAATAATGGGCAGACTAATCGTAGCGTGCAAGCCGACATAACAAGCTCTCATCACTCCCCCCATTTTCAAGACTGCAGTTGCTCATTAGATTTGTCCTCAATTTGATAAAAGGATTTTTTCATGGTGACGTAAACCCAAAATAACATTAAACCGGCCGCTTCGTTAGAAAAATGTTTAGGTATAATCTTATTGTTTTTGTACATACAATATACATCCACGATATGTAATCTGCGAGTTTGACAATATCCGCATCTCATAATAATCATCTTTTTCAGGTAGAGTGTATATGAAACCGATTTTAGTGGAAACATCATTAATAACACTAATCACACTTGACAATTTTTTTTTAATATTTTGATCACATTTTTTCTACTATGTACATTATCTATTGTCAGTTTTAGTGTGTGTGTGTGTGTGTTTTTTTTTGTTTCTTTCAGTTCGTTGCGTCTGTTTTGTTAGAGCCATTTAGATTGATTAGGTAAAATCTACTCTAGTAGGTTTAGTTTGGTGTTCTTTTTGACTTTACATTTCTGACAGGTTTTGATAGGTAAATTGGAGGGGTTAGTTAGAGATATATAAAAGTCTCAACGACCAATAACAACCTAACTCATTTAATATATATACATACTACACACAAATATTCACATAGACCCATGTGCTGATGTGCATGTAGTTAATATAAGATATTTTTAGCCGTTACAGAGTTTGGCAAACGATGATGGACGACCAGGGTGATAATGTATAGTTTAGTCTATAAATCGGCAAAGTATTTGGCTCTTTTTTGGTAATGTCTGTAACTTTGCATGTGCTATGAGAATCTGAGTTTCCATATATCTGCCAACGACATGCGATCATTTTGAGTTTTAAAGGTGTTGTCGTGAACAGTCTTCTATATAACCTTTTATTTTTTGGAACAGAAAAAATTCGAAAATTTCTGTAAGCGGATTGAGGAAGTAAAGTCGTGTATCTTTTTGTAGGTTATAGATATACACAGCAACATCATAGACCTGCTAAAACTCAATTAAAACCATTTCATTTGGGTTCATTTTCTTTTGATTTGAAATTATAACCAGGTTTTGGATTATGATCAGAGCAAATCACTTCGTGTGTATACGTACAATATTACTTATATAATATATCACAAATACACGCACAAATTTTTTATATATCAAAATACCATTGTAAACAACAACGGTAGGTCGATTTTTCCAGAAGTAACTAACCGAATGCACCGTCGTAGTGAAGTAAGGAGATAATCGAAGTGGCGTAGCAGGTAGCATAATGTATATAGATGCCAGTCCAATATATGTATATACTAACTTTATATATAGATATTTTTTTTGCGTCGATATTGGCAGCCACGTACATTCTTGAAATCAATAATTACTATAACCATCATTATTTGATGATATACACTTTGTATATACAACTTAAAAATGAATTTTAAGTCCACTATCTTCCATTCACCCCAATACAGAAATATCAAACACTAATGATTATTTTCGGATATACATCTACAGGCTCCTATTACTGTATATAGTGATTTATTCTTTGCAATTAGTTAATGTATAGTTGTATAGTTTATTTAGCCAATATAGTTTCTTATCCATCTTAATTCAATTACCTTTTCGTACTATACTTCTAACTTAAAGCATGAACTGTGATCTAAACGGATTTTACGAGGTACTAATGATCCGAGGTATTTTATGACATTCTCAACGAAAACATATATAGTAGTTGTTCTTGATTTTGTTTTCAAAAAATTGATAGATGGCAGATAATAACAAAATCTTCAAAAGTTTTTACATGTGCAACCACTCACTAACAAAATATTCAACACACTTGCTCAAATTATGGAAGTCTCATCCTACAGTGCTGATTTCAAAGTTAGAAGAATTTAGTGGTTGCATTTTTCCAAATTTGTGTTGCTCATTCAATTGAATCTGGACCCATCAGAGGGCTGTTCAGTTATGTTCCTAAGACGATAACGTCTCCTTCTAAGGCATAGTCGCATTTAAGAATATTTTAAGGAAAACCCTTAAGAACAAAATAAACAAATCTTTAACATTTGTTGTTGAAGCGTTTTATATTTTGATAGTTTAAATTCATTTCTGTCTGTTAATAACTTAGAAAATTATACTGCTTAGATTCATTTCTCTTAGAATGTTTGATTGAATAACATTCTCTAAAATATATATACCGTACAGTTTTAAAGAAATAAACGCTATAAAAATTATCATTATTTAGTCGTCCGACCCTTTATAAACTCCTCCTTTCATACAAAAAGTTCCATTTTCATTTCTCCTCCTAAAAAAAACCGCCATGCTAACCTCTCTCTCCACCGTAGGTTTCCTTCTCCTCCTTGTCCTTATCAGCTATGACGGTGGCTTCATCGGAGCCGCCGATGCCGAACATAACCTCATAGCCACCGATTCCCATAGTCATCGCCATCATCGCAAGAGTCGCAACCACGGCCACCGTCGTGGAGAAGAGTTCGAGTACTCAGCCATAACGTGTAGAGCTTACTCAGCGTCTCTTGACGAGTTCGGTGCCGTCGGAGACGGTGTGACCTCAAATACGGTGGCGTTCCGCGACGCAGTGTCACAGCTTAGCCGTTTCGCAGACTACGGTGGCTCATTGTTATTTGTTCCCGCCGGACGGTGGCTCACCGGAAGCTTTAACCTCACAAGCCATTTCACACTTTTCCTCCACCGTGATGCTGTTATCCTCGCCTCCCAAGTAAGTATTATTGTTTCTTTTCTCCATTATAGTTTAATTTCTTCCCCTTTCATTTTTCTAAGAATAGAATTATTAATTGGAATAAACCCGTGACACAAAACTCCACAAACGTCTTTGATGAATTACTTTTTTTCTGTTGCATTTTTTTGGTTGGAATTCATACATATATACACGTGACATTTGTTGGCATGCTTCTGATGATATCTAGCTGGTTGGGCCATTCAATTTGTGTTTTCCTTTTGGTAAACAATTTGTTTATAGTAAAGTAGCACACAGTTAAATTGTGATTGAAAATAATTATACTTAGGTGAATATAGGGAAGTTTGAAGAACTGAAGGTCTTTGAAACAACGGAAGAAGAAAAGAAATCGGGGGTTACTAGTTGACAACCTATTCTTTTCAATTTTTTGTTTCTAACTTTCTACTAAAAGCAAACTATTAATTAGGTTTAAACAGTTTAGGTTAGAGTTACTCTAAATGTAAAGGATAGAGTTGAGGAAGGAGTTACGCAAAGACAACAAAATAGGGAAAGACGCAAAGTTAGTGGGGATCGTTATCAGACCGTTTTAAGATAGTGCGACCCATTCTTGTTAGGAAGATCACATCCGTTCGTATCTATTCCAAATCTGAGCCATAATTTACTTCTTGGGCCTTAGCCTAAAGTAGTTCTTCTTTTTATTCCTTAGACCAAGTTAACCAAAAGATGAGACCCTTTTCAAATTTACCCTTGAAAATTTATAGGTAAATAATTCACTAGATGTATTAATCGATATAGAAAATTGTGAAATACAGTCTCTCTCGTTTTCTTGATAATCGTTTTAGAAAAAGAAAAAAGGAGTAGAATGTCTACTCTGAATTATTTGTAGGGACGGGGTCATCTAAATCTCCTAACACATGATTGCTATTTATCGTAATAAAAAGAGAATTAGGGGAGTTTAGGACCGTGCAAAACATTCATGGCTCTAAACAACCACAAACCAAACTGACCTAAACATATTGTTGTATTATTAAGTTTAAAATGAAGAATTAATAGTAAAAAAAAAAGAATTAATAGTCCATGAACAAGATGAGTTTCTGTGTAATACAGTTTGACTAATTCTAAGCTAATGATGAAAAACTGTTTGTCCTAACGTTATTGGTAGGAAGAGAGTGACTATGAAGTGATAGAGCCACTACCTTCGTACGGACGTGGGAGAGACACGGATGGTGGGAGATTCATCAGTCTACTCTTCGGTTCAAACTTAACCGACGTGGTTATCACCGGTTAGTAATACGACAATAATCGAATTAACCAAAACATCCGAAATTTTCCTAATTAAATTTGCTATTTTCTTTTTCTAAATTGAAAGGTGAGAATGGGACTATTGATGGACAAGGAGAGCCATGGTGGGGAAAATTCAAGAGAGGCGAATTGAAATACACAAGACCGTATTTGATCGAGATTATGCATTCAGATGGTATCCAAATCTCCAATCTCACTTTCTTGAATTCTCCTTCTTGGCATATTCACCCGGTCTACAGCAGGTAAACTCACACCCGGTTAAACTATTCGCTTATCAAATTTTAAGCTACAAAACCGGTTTTGTTTATATATTTCAAAATGCAGGAATATTGTTATCCAAGATTTGACGATATTAGCACCGGTCACGGTACCAAACACCGACGGGATTAACCCAGGTAGCAAATCATACCGACAAATTTCACAAAAATACCGATAACCGGTTTATTAAGATCTGGTTAAAAATTCGTACCGGTTTATTTTAGATTCTTGTACGAACACGAGGATCGAGGATTGCTACATCGTCTCCGGAGACGATTGTATCGCCGTGAAGAGTGGATGGGATCAGTACGGAATCAAATACGGCATGCCGACGAAACAGCTCTTGATCCGACGGCTCACATGTATTTCTCCTGATAGTGCCGTCATCGCTCTCGGCAGCGAAATGTCCGGCGGAATTGAGGATGTTCGTGCTGAAGATATCGTCGCCATTAACTCTGAATCTGGAATCCGGTATGTAATCAATCAAAAATTAACCGGTTTAATTCGGTTCGGTTTGTTCACACCGAACTTGTTTAAAATCTCTGCAGGATTAAAACAGGTGTTGGACGAGGAGGTTACGTGAAAGACATATACGTAAGAGGAATGACGATGACGACGATGAAGTACGTTTTTTGGATGACCGGAAACTACGGTTCGCATCCCGACGATCATTACGATCCGAATGCTTTACCGGTTATTGAGAACATTAACTACCGAGACATGGTCGCCGATAACGTGACGATGCCGGCACAACTCGCCGGAATATCCGGTGATCAGTTTACTGGAATCTGCATCTCTAACGTGACGATCACGCTATCGAAGAAACCTAAGAAAGTGCTTTGGAATTGTACGGACGTCTCCGGTTATACAAGCGGTGTGACTCCGGAGCCGTGCCAGCTTTTGCCTGAGAAGGAGCCGGGGACGCTCGTGCCGTGTAATTTCCCGGAAGAGCCGATTCCTATTGAAGAAGTGAAGCTCCAACGTTGCTCCTCTAGAAGCAGGAATATGTGAAGATGAAACATTTTTCTACTAAATACATTTCTTGGGTTATAAGTATTAAGTAAACGTGTTATCAAATGATATGGATTTTATTGAATAACCTGACAAAGTATCAATGGAAAATACACTAGTGGTGGAACCCAAAATATACGTATATTTTGTTACATATCCGTCGTCCATCATCTTTGATATTTTAAAGGATACCAAAACATAAGCTTAACGTAACACCCAAGTAACCAAAGAAAAACTGATCAAGGAAGAACAAGTAAAAGGACACAAAACCGATGAAGAAAAAATTGGAAATATTAGAAGACGATGAATAAAAGAGTATGATGGGATAGGTTTTATTGAATAACCTGACAAAGCATTAGAATGGAAAATACAACAACCTCAACCTCAAGTAATAATCAAGCTGAAATATGGAACTGAAGATCATCCGTAGACTTTTGTAACCTCCACTTTATCTTAAGATTTTGTTTGAAATTGGAGTTTAATTATGTTGTTTTCTCTCTTTCTATTTTCTCTTTCCTTGTGAAATACCGGGTTAATCTGCTGATGAATGAACTTCTGCTAAGGCAGACTTTATATTTGGTTTTTCATAAGCAAGTAAGCTTTTTTTGTTTGTTTGCTGCATCACTGCCTTAATGGTAAACAAAAGATGGTTTCTTCACCCTCTATTACGGTAGATAACAATCACCCACTCAAAACCAAAATAAAATCAGATAACACTTGATTTTTGTTAGTATGCAGCTGACTTAATTTAAAACTGTTAAGACTTATTTCAGCCAAATCAATCTACATCATCTCCTGTGTCTTTTCCAATACATAAATTTAAATTTATTATGACTAATTTCAGCGGAATCTAAAAATTCTAGTCAATATATTGAAATGCGTAAAGGTCCAATCTTGTAACTGAAATGGAATTTGTTATACAAAAGATGGCCCAATCCAACATAGAACACTACTGTCTTCTCGACTAAGCGATAACACAAACAAAAAAGACAATAACCACATGAACTTCTTTTTCCAAAATACTGATACTAGTGACTGATATCCAAAATCTTAACTTTCGGAGTTGTTTTACTACACAGAGCAGAGAAAAAAAAACTCTTTTGACATCCTAAAAAAGAACCGCAAGTCTCACAAACAAAGAGCATCTAACGCAACTACTTGACAGATGGTGCTGGATCTTTGTCCACAAGAGCAGACAAGTCACCGAAAGAGAGGTCAACCTCGGCTTCAGGGTCGACGATCGCGTCCACCAAGCCAGGGTAATCCTCAACTGCATCTCTGACCGTGTCCAAAAAAGTGCTGAGGTTGATGATTGCTTGTGGTACTGGTTCTTCTGGCGCTAAGGCTGGTACTTGCTCTGGCTTTGTCTCTGGCTCTAGCTAGAACTCATTACTAAAACTCATTACTAGTTGTTTTGGAATATCTTATACAAATTTACACAAGTGTACTTTTCGTGTATTATTCAAGAGTCCAACTTCACCAAACTTCACCATTAAAAAATAGTGAAAACATTTAAAGGATTCAAGAGTTAGCATAATCAAAGGATGATAATAAATAACCGGTTAATATAGCCATGGTGGCCAAAATTCAAGAGAGGAGAATTAAAATACACTAGACCGTATTTGATCGAGATTATGCATTCCGATGGTATCCAAATCTCCAATCTCACTTTCTTGAATTCTCCTTCTTGGCATATTCACCCGGTCTACAGCAGGTAAAATCACACCCGGTCTAACTATTCGGTTATCAAATTTTAACCTACTAAACCGGTTTTGTTTATTTATTTCAAAATGCAGGAATATTGTAATCCAAGGTTTGACAATAATAGCACCGGTCACGGTACCAAACATGAAACACCGACGGTATTAACCCAGGTATAAAATCATACCGATTAAATTTCCGAATTACCGATAACCGGTTTATTGAGATCTGGTTAAAATTCGTTCCGGTTAATTTCATAGATTCTTGTACGAACACGAGGATTGAGGATTGCTACATCGTCCCCGGAGACGATTGAAGAGTGGATGGGATCAGTACGGAATCAAATACGGCATGCCGACGAAACAGCTCTTGATACGACGGCTCACATGCATTTCCCCTGATAGTGCCGTGATCGCTTTCGGCAGCAAAATGTCCGGTGGAATTGAGGATGTTCGAGCTGAAGATATCGTCGCCATTAACTCTGAATCTGGAATCCGGTATGTTATCAATCAAAGATTAACCGGTTTAATTCGGTTCGGTTTGTTTATACAGACTTTGTTTAAATCTCTGCAGGATTAAAACCGGTGTTGGAAGAGGAGGATACGTGAAAGACATATACGTAAGAGGAATGACGATGACGACGATGAAATACGTTTTTTTGAATGACCGGAAACTACGGTTTGCATCCCGACGATCATTACGATCCGAATGCTTTACCGGTTATCGAGAACATTAATTACCGAGACATGGTGGCCGATAACGTGACGATGCCGGCACAGTTGGCTGGAATATCGGGTGATCAGTTTACTGGAATCTGTATCTCTAACGTGACGATCACGCTAGCGAAGAAACCTAAGAAAGTGCTTTGGAATTGTACGGATGTTTCGGGTTATACAAGCGGTGTGACTCCGGAGCCATGTCAGCTTTTGCCGGAGAAGGAGCCGGGGACGCTCGTGCCGTGTAATTTCCCGGAAGAGCCGATTCCTATTGAAGAAGTGAAGCTCCAACGTTGCTCCTCTAGAAGCAGGAATATGTGAAGATGAAAAGGTTTTCCTTTTTTTCTTTCTACTAATTACATTTCTTGGGTTATAACTTATAAGTATTAAGTAAACGTGTTATCAAATGGGATGGATTTTATTGAATGATCTGACAAAACAGGAACCCAAATATACGTATATTTTGTTACATATCCGTTCATCTTATTGATAATTTAAAGAAAACCAAAACAGAGGCGTAACGTAACACCCAAGTTACCATAAAAAGTGCTGAGTATTGAGCGTCTTGTCTCCAAATAAATCCATATTACAGCATGTTTGCTGCTAAATTTGTATTCTCCAAATATCTCCGATTAAAAATAAATAATTCATGGCCCATTGGTTAGATGACTCATCCTGGAGTTAAAAGATCAGAATTCAAGCTGTTTTTTTTTTTTTTTTTTTTTTTTTCTGTTTCGGATCAAACGGAAGAAGCTGACTTTAAAAAGGTCAAAAACTCTTTGGAATCTCACTTCGGTTGTGTCGCTGCTTGGCCATGAGGCAACGGTTCGATCTCTTTATAGACCATCATGCGATTATTTCGAATAAATTAATAATTGGATAAAGTTACTTAAAAGTGTAAAAACTTGTGACGTAAGGCATCTTATAATCGCAAGGAATTATTATTTGTTGAAAATATATGAAGTGATATTCTAGAAGATGGGGATATTTCAGAGATTGAATAATTAAAGAAAACTACACAACATAAACTTTGTTAAAGAACCTCACAACTCAAATTAAATGGGTCTTAAGATATTATATGAGTGACAATGTGACATATACCAATGAATTAATATATTCATTGTTAATTACTTCCAATGCAGTTTCTCCATTTTACATCCGCAGCTGTTTAACACTAAACAAATTAGGTTCCATCGCGAAAACGACATACAAAAATAAATTTAAAAGTCGTCATTAAACTGATAATTGTTTTTTTGTTAAAGTATTCTCTTTTAATTTTTCCTTGACACTTTTCGTGCCGGGGTTTTGTGAATTTCCAGAAGTTAAGCTCATAGCTCAATCAAGAATAAAAATAAATCCTGATAGGAACCACTGGCAAAACCAAACCGATAATTGTTTATTAGAAGAGTTTGTTTTTTGTAATGTTTCTTGGATAAAGTGTTTGCTGTTTTAGTCATAAACAATAGTTTCTCATTCACCGAGTCTTTCTTTATCTTTTATCGTTTTAACCAATTGATATATGATGATAACGCGGTCCAAATGCATACGATAAGGGTTGGATATTTGTTTGTTTTTTTTTTCCAAGTAGTTGGACTCAAAGATCCTAGCTTATTCACCGTAATAGATTAGATTCGATATATCATATGTGTAACGCCCACCAAGATCAGAGAGTAGGAGTCCAGTTCTTATTAGTTAAGGGAAAATTAAAGCTGCAATGCGAAGAAAATCCCATGTTTGGTTGCAGTTGACTATTTGAATTAATTTGTGCATCACTTTTATTAATTGATCGTTCACCAAAGTAAAAAGGTATGACTACAATCACAGAAGTAAAAACAATGGCTTTTGCTTATGACACAAGTACACGAAAGAAGCTCATGCCGGCGAATCCTTCAGGTAATCTTTTGATCCTCTTGATCCTCATGCGACACACAAACAACGGTTGAAAATGTAATACAGAGATGAAACGTAACTCGGGTTGTCGTCTCTCATATTTTCCTTAACATTTGTTTGCCCAATACTGTCAATGCTCCCTTGAGATACGGCAGGGCCGGTTTCAACGTGCCAGACCATTTCATCTGTCGATTTGAAATGAAGTCAAATCGTACTTAAGTCACTAGTACATGTGCAAGCTACGTGGTGATTTGACATATCAACTTACAAGGCGAAGGGTAAAACTGATCTCTTTTGTCATGAAATGAGTTGGCACGTCTATGATCAGGATGTGGCCGAACTTGAGGCACCTTAGACACGGTCGTCTTGTCCCATATTGATTCTTCAACCAGAGGAGACAAATTTGGAGGAAAAAGAGGCTCCAAATTAACATCCTGTGGAAACACATACCAACATATCAATGACTTGCGATATTTCTATTTTTTTTTTTTTTTTTATAAAAAGAGAACTCTGAGAGAAACCCCATTGTAGCCCTTGAGCATCTGAGAGATCATCTTCCTTTTCTTTCGTGCAGAGTAGATGATATTGTCCTTGGTGTCGTGGTCTAGTTTGTCCCAGTTACTGAAGATCAAAGCAGGTTGTGTCGGCTTACTTATCATGTGAAGGGCAAGAATGTTGATAGCTTTCTCTATCGACTCCTTTCCTTGTGCATCAAAGTTTTGAAGATTCACAGGGAATTGAAAAGAGCTTTCAGGAAGAGATATCTTGAAACGGTTGCTACTTTGCACTAACGAGATAAGATCTTTCCATGCTGAGCCATCCATGAATCCTTCAAGATAAGATATTTCCAGATTAAGAGCTTCCAGTGTTTTTGACAAGTGAAGTTTTGACTGATCACTGGCGTCAAACGCAATCGAGTTTCTCTCTGATATCTGCCACCACCATGTCTAATTTAATACACAAAAATCCTCATAGATTAATGTAAATATATTTCAAAACTAATTAAGTACACACCTCCTTTGATGCAATTTCGGCTAAAATTCCATCAACCATTTCGACGACTTTCTTGACGAAATCCAACTCATTAAGCGCACTGCAAAACAAAAAGTTTTTGATCATGGAAGATCTAAATTACCTTTTTGATATAAAAAAAAGACCAAATTACTTTTTTTTTCTTTTGGTAAAAACATTAATTACTTTTGATCAAGCAATTAAGCTTCAAATAGTACCTATTGTCGTGATAACTCAGTCCGATCGTCTCAGCGACGACTCCCAAAGCTTTCTTTCACTTCTTGATCTTAGAATCAGGAAACGTGTTCTGTAAAGTTTGAAACTTTTCTCCAAACTCTCCCTTCTGTTCCCTAACGTGGGCAGCCCTGACTTTGTAGAATATGGGTATTGCGTACTCAATCTTCTCCGTCGCTAAACATTTTCTGATCTCATCCAGCTCTTCCAAGCACCAGTCTGACTCCAAGTAGTTCACGGAGAAGATGACGATGACGATCCGTGAATCTCTTATATGTTTGAAGAGACTTTGGAGCGGCTTTCCAGGCGCGTCCTCGTCCGTGAACACTCTCACTTTATTGCTAGCTTTCAAATGATGTTTGAGATGTGGCACTAATTTCTGCCGTTCGTCTTTGCCTCTAAAGTTGATGAACACTTGAGGCTTCTGCATTTCAAAGACTCAAACACCAGTTGGATCTATGATTAGAGAGAATTCGGCTCTGGTAAGAGATTAGAGAAAAGCCAATGTTGCTTAAATATTGAGTTTCCGTATGCTTATTATTCATTTAACATCTTTTTTGTTAACCAACAAAAAGAAATTGACGATGATAACGACTAATCAAGATTTTCGTTATATTATTAGAAAATTGACGATGACTTATAAACAGTTATATTATTTTTATTACCAAATGACTAAGTTTTTTTATTCCGTTGGTAGTATTGATAATGACAAAAGTATGCAATTTCTGAGAAATTAGGTTAGACAATTTAATTGATGTCGCCAGACTTTTTAGTCAACTGTTATGTATGATTATTGTCGCCGTTTACGTGGAAGAGTTGTGTTAGAGAGGAAAATTATAATATAAACATTATTTTTAGTGCTTGAAGATACATTACCGATTGATAGAGGTGGAATCCCGTAAATAAAACATAATAAAAGTTAAAATCATTATTCCAATAAAGCAGACATGGCTAAAAAGTCTAATCAAGTCCACAAACTCATAACAGTATCTTTTCAAAGTACTCATAACAGGATTTTCCGCAGTTCTTGGTGGTAATAACATAAAACTAAAACACATCAAGAACCAAATCAAATAAGAGAATCGATCTCGTTACTGAAATTGTGATTTATGCAATTGGCTAGGGGTTGCTAGGGGAAGTGGGTGGCAACACAGTGGAGCTTGGGCAACATTGGTGGCTTATTATATTATAGGAGCTCCGATTGGACTTTTCTTAGGGTTTTGGTGTCACTTGAATGGTAAAGGGCTATGGATCGGTGTGGTCCTTGGGTCTACGGCGCAAGGGATCATCCTGGCTATAGTCACTGCTTGCATGAGTTGGGACGAACAGGTCAATTGCAAAAAAACTTTCTTTATTTTATGAACACTTGATGAGTACTATTCATTTTTTTTCTCTCTACTGAAGTTTTACTTCCTTCTATCTAAAAATTGTAGGCTTCGAAGGCAAGAAACATAATACTTGTAGGGACTTCTTCGATTGGCAGTGGACTTGCTTGGATGGTTCTTTATTTACTTTTGAGACAAGTCACAAAGACTTTGTTTGATGTTGATTATGACTTACGAGTGTACTTTTTTTTTGGGTGAATATTATGAGTGTACTTCTGTCGCTGGAGAACATCGGAGAGAAAAGATGTAGGAATCATACTATTCTAATCAAAGCCACACACACACACACAAAAAGTCCCACACTCTAAACATAGTTTGTGAATAGAAAACAGAGGCTGTTGCGTAAGTCACTAGTAAAAGAAAGAGTAACAGTTTCTTGCAACCGAAGGTTCACTTCTGCGTTCCCTCAAGATCTTCTTCTGCTCCTCATGTAACAGACAAACAAATTTTGATTAATAAGTAACGCAAAAACGAAATACAACTCATATCGTCTACTCGCTTATCATAATGATATTTCCCCAAGATAATATTGTCAATAGTCCGTTGTGCTCCGAAGGAGGTTTGATCCGATAACATTTCATCTGTCGATTTAAGAATTCATGTCGTTAGTCACTATAGTCAGAAATCAGGTCTAAACTCAAAGATCTGAACTTACAAGCTAAAGGGTAACATCGATCTCTATTGTCACGATATGAGATGGATCGTCTAAGATCACGGCGATGCCAATCTCGAGGCGCCTTATGTTCCAAGATCCGATCCCATCTTTGTACTTCGACGAAAGAAGGACAATTACCATAAGAAGGCTTCAAATCAACATCCTGTGGAGTCATATTCATAAGCATAAATATCAAGAACAGAGGAAGTTCCTGGAGAAAAACAAACTTGGGGTAGAGAAACAAACCCTATTACAGCCTTTGAGGATCTGAGACATCATCTGTTTTTTCTTGCGTGCAGAGTATATGATACTGTTCTTCGCCTCTCGATCGATTTTGTCCCAGTTTGTAAAGATCAACGCAGGTTGTTTCTGCTCGGTCATCATCTGAAGGGCAAGCCAGTTTGTAGCGTTCTCTACTGATTCATCTCCTAGTGTTTCCAAGCTCTGAATATTTTTTTCATTTGAAGAAATCTTGAAGCTGTTGTTGCTACTCTGCATCGAAGAGATAAGATCGTTCCATGCAGGGCTAAACATGAAGCCTTGATGATGACAAGATCTTTCAAGATTCAGAGCTTCCAATGTTTTTGACAAGTGGAGAAGCTTGTATAAGTCCTTGAGGACCTTGGCATCGAACTCAGAGGGATTTGATGTTTCTCCTTCTAATATCTGCAATAAAGATTCAGCCACCATGTCTATTTTAAGACCAAAAAAAAACTACCAAATAAAATCTATATATATACAATATAGTTAGGGTCTCTTCTGAGACTGTCACGTAGACAAATTTTCGCCACCTCAGCAAATTTAAAGAAAATCCGATGGGTTTTATGGGCCTTTAATCTTATGTTATTAATTTGGATTGAACAAAAAAAAATGATTTATTTTCTCACTGTTTTTATTAGGTTTGTCAAAAAATTCCCATGCTTTATATTTATTTATGTTTTGAAATGAAATACTTATATTTTTATTTAATTTATTATAAAATCTTGGACGGGAAGGAACCGAATGAGATATAATGGGATTGCACGGGACCTGATGGACGGGTCGGGAACAAAAAAATATGATAAAAAGGAACAAAATGGAGAAATGAGAAAAGACGATTCAGAAATATTATGTAACTCTAATTATATTTACTGAGACAGGAAGAAAAAGAATGAGATAGGATGAGACTTAGAAGGGACATATATGACTGAAAGGAAGGGATGAAAAGGAACATAATGGGACGGGAAAAGATGAGAATTTTGCTTATCTCTAATAATATTTAGGGACGGGACGGAAAGAAACGGAAAGAAGAAAAGTCAAAACGGGATGAAACAGAATGAGATAAGATGGAATTGCACGTGACGAGATGAACGAGACAGGAAAGAACGGGATGATAAAAAGGAACAAAATGGGTGGAATGAGAAAGGACGGTTCAAAATTTTTGCGTAACCTTAATTATATTTTATTTTCAGAAATTTTACGTAACAGTAATTATATTTCATTAATATGAATAATAAACCATAGAATTAATTTAAATTTAAGAAAAAAATAATAAAATCAACATAACAATATAAGTCCCCGCGCGAAGCGCGGGTCTCCCTTAGTGTAAATATATATATCAGTCAGAAGTGAGAACTATGAACACACCTTATTTTCATGATCAGAAGTTAAAATGTTTTCAACACTCTGGACTATTTTCATGACGAAATCCAACTCTGAAAGTGAACTGCAAAACAAAACAGTTTAAAGTGATTTCGATCACAAACAAAATAAACCCTATTAGATTTTGATAATTCTCTAAATTAAACCCTTTTAACAAAAAAAAAAAAAAAAAATCTCTAAATCGATCACACACACAAACCTCTTATTTTCATAAGTCAATCCGATATATCTAGCGACGACTTCCAGAGCTTCTTTCCATTTGTTGACAGATTCGGGATGCTTGTGCTGCAAGGCAACAAACCTTTTGCCGAAATCTCCGGTCTGTGTCTTAACGTGGGAAGGTTTGACCTTATAGAAGATTGGTATGACTACTTTAAGCTTCTCCGTCTCTAAACATTTCATGATCTCCACGAGCTCGTCCAAACAGCACTTTGACTCCAAGTAGCTTACGGAGAAGATGACGATCACGATCCGCGAGTTTCTTATATATTTGAAGAGATTCTTCACCGGCTCTCCGGTAGCGTCGTTGTCCATGACCACATTCACGCTGTTATTGTTCAAATGATATTTGAGATAAGGAACTAATTTATGTCGCTCGTCTTTGCCCCGGAAACTGATGAACACTTGAGGATTTTTCTTATTATTCTTCATCTCAAAAACCATTTTTGGATCTATTTTGGTTGTTGGGGAGAAGACTAAGACTAAAAACCAAACAGTTGCTCTCTTGTCATAAACCCCAAAAAATTGGAGAATGATAGGAAAAAGTCAACCAACTAATGCATGTTCTATTTAATTACTAGATACTACTAAACAAAGAAAAAATTATATATATAGCATTTTTTATCTATAAGAATATGATTTACGTAAACTACTACAATTAATAATATACTACAACAATTGATTTTGTCTGTGTAGTGTGCAATGCAATCAAGAGACGGAAAAGTTTGGGGAAAAACCCTTTTGATCGTAAAATTTGAAGAGGTCTACCGATGTTTTTTTTCTTTAATTATTTTGTTAAAATTAGTCTACCGTTAACCCTAATTTAAGTGTAATTGTGCTTGCACTTCAAAATATTGAAAAAAAAACTAAGTATTGAAACAGGTTTTGGACCATGTGGTATAGAGTCTAACCATGGAAAGAGAAACTTACCGCGAAACCTTTTTGCTGAAGTTTACAGTAATTCATAAGTTTCAATTTTTCGAAGACGAGACTGTCTAAGCAAAGAACCGCGCACATATTTCTTGTCTAGATGTCACATTACATTATTTTGTTTTATTTCAGGAATTTGCTATCCTATCCAGTTGGACAGAATATGGTATATGCTACCCTACTGTTATACCCCCTTGTCAACCAACCAAAATCAAACATGGGAGACATAAATTAATTAATATTGACAGAGAATATAAGATTGAAAAACAATGACGTTTTATATGAGCCAGCTGGTTTTTCATTTAAACAACTATTGACCCTAAAAAGGTCTCGATCTCCGTTTTTTTTCAACGCAGTTTTTCCATCTTGCATCCACAGCTGTTAGGTTCCATACTCTTGACGTGTGAAAACGACAAAAACAAAAAAAAGTCGTCGTTATACTTGAAATTTTTTATGAAATACACCTCTTGATGTGCAAATTTTCAAAACTACACCTATAGTGTAGAAAATTTCCAAAATACACATTTTTCTAATTTTAATATATATGTTTGGGTTCACTAATCCTATATTAGGATTTAAATTGTGGGGTTTAGGGTTTAGATTTAAGGGTTCAATGTTAGATTTTAGGGTTTTGGATTTATATTTTAGGGTTTAGAATTTTTTTACTAAATGAAAAAAGTGTAGTTTTGAAAATTACTTAGACGAATTTGTTATAAATTGTAATGTTTCTTGAGGATTAACAAATAACAAACGAAGTCTTTGGTGTTTTGCTCACAAAAAAATGTAGCTTCTGATCAACCCACCGAATCTTTCCTTATATTATAAATTCTGTACCAAATGTAACGCAGTCCAAATGCACACAAAGGTTTATCTGTTTGTGTTCAAGTTAGCCTAAAATCAAGAATTACGATAAAGGGCTCTACTTGAGTGCAGAGGAATACCACTGATCGAAAGTTATAAAAATGATTGTCTTCGGAATATTTGGGCATCTCTTTTATTATTAATTGATCTTTCTTCAACGTAAAATTAGTATGACTACAATCACAAGAAGGTAAAACAAAGGCTCAAAACAAAAAAAGAAAGAATATACATCAGTTGCTTGCAACGGAAGGATCATCTCGCCGATTCTTCCTGATCATCTTTCGTAAGACACAAACAACGTTTGAAACTGTAACACAGCAACGAAACAAAACTCGCCTCAGGAAATCCATTTGCGACCGGGGTATGAACCAAGGCAAGGGTGTCTGTTTCATCTGCAGTTTAAAAGTTAATCGTTTAGTCACTAGTCATACGACATGTGTGCAGATCAGCAGATCTATGTCATGACGCTAACTTACGATGAGGGCAATCTTGAGGCTCTAACGTCGAACTTCGAAGTACCAACAGGAATATTACTCGATATAAAAGACACCAAATCAACACCCTGTATAGTCAAACCCATAACGAAGCATATGTATCGAAAAGTCAGGAAAATTTCTAGGAAAAGAAAAAGAGACAGAGAGGCAGAAACCTCAGTGTAGGCCATGAGCATGTGGCATTTCTTTCGTGCAGAGTAGATGATAATGTTCTTGGTGTAGTGATCAACTTTGTCCCAATTACTGAAGACCGACACAGGATGCATGTGTTTGCTCAGACATCATGTGAAGGGCAAGCAAGTTTATAGCTTTCTCTAGTGGCTCATTTCCTTGTGCATGGAGGCTCTGTATATTCATACGAAACTGAAGAGAGTTTGCAGGAGGAGAAATCTCGAAACTGTTGCCACTCCGCATCGACGAGATAAGATCTTTCCATGCAAAGCCAAACATGAATCCTGTACGGAAAAATCTTTTCAGATTCAGAGCTTCCCTTGTCTCTGACAAGTGGAGGAGCTCATTTAGTTGATTGACATCGAGCAAAATATGATTTGACGCTTCTCCCTGTAATAAAGAAGACATTGGAGATTACTCAAAATAAAGTAGAGTATTCATCAAATTTGGAAAGTGATTCAGCTAAAGAACTAAACATGGTAAAGTATAGCGTTTAATGGTTATTCCATCAAAATTTATCAAGTTCTGTTCTTTCAGATTTAGCTATTCGATTGTTAGATTATTCTGTAATTTCATTGTTCAACTGACATATCTATCAAACAGAATATTCAATCAAGTTATTATGTGGTCGTGACGTGAGTTTATTAAACCTCATGCAGGGCCTGTACGGCCATTTACAATCGAAACAGTGTAGCTCTATAACAAATCTCACATTCTAAGTCCTATACACATGGATGATACGATGCAGTTTCAAATAAAATTAGCATAAACCGAAAGTTAGGGATTCACATCATATGAAGAGACTTAGAATAGTTTATTAAGGACATTAACCAATCTTCTCATTACCGATTGATAGAGGTGGGGAATCCCATAACCAATATAATTCAAGTTTAACATTATTCTAACAAGCACACATGAATAAAACATCTAATAAAGTCCACAAACTCAAAATCCTTTTTAAGTACTAGGTCAAAGATAGATTCCTTGAGGCGTACTCAAACAAACAAATGATTCCTCCGCCTGGTCATGCTTTAAGTAGAGTGCTTGACAGGGTATGAAGCAACCATCGTGATCCCACATATACCTGCCGGATCTGCAATGTTACGAGCCATCTTAGCGAAGCCAGCATCTCCCCAGCTCGTGCCCCATGAGTTTTTCACGATCCAATAGTCCTGACCGTTCTCACTACCGTACCCGATAATAAGAACCGCATGGTCAAGCGCGGTCCCGCATGGTCCAGTAAATATACCCTTAACGACATAAAAAATGTAAGCATGGACCATTAAAACTTATTAGCGCGTATATATATTTCTTGGATCGAACTAGAATAATACGAATTTTAAAGGTATTATTTGGCAAATGCGTACCGATTTGTAGAGCTGAAATTCTTGGGATTTTTTGTCTATACCAACACTCACGGGTAGGTGAGCAACCGCCTGTTGTAGGGAAGCCTCATCATTCTGAGGCAAATCCACGTAGTTATCAATAGTAACGGGCTTGTTTAAAGAATTCTGCGACAAGCGTACCAAAAACAGTCAGAACTCGGTAGTGAAATTAAGAACATATATATGTTTAATAACGGTAGTACTAGCAAGGAGGTAAACCATGTTCCGGCTACAGAAGCCTGGATAGCCAGTGTACGGATAATCATTTTGGGGAGTAAGACCATTGTTATTGATAACGAACTGGAAAGCTTTGTCCATAAAACCTCTTCCTTCACAACCGTAGTTGTCCGTGTTGCAGTCGACCAATTCCTGCTCGGACAATCTGACTAACTCGCCCGTCACGATCTTGTTTAGGGACTCAATACTTGCCACTGCGGAGAATGCCCAGCAGCAACCTTTTGTTTCAAATATGAAAGAAAAAAAGTATTAATATTTAATATTTAATCATGATTTTCTTTCGATTGCTTCAAACGCAAGTAGTTAAGAGAGATTACTGTAATAAAGTGAAAACCAATTTACTCATAGTTATAGCCAGTAGCATAGATTCTCTATAGAGGTTTTCTGAACTTAGAACACTGTATACCTAGATATTAAATTATTCTATTTACTATTCTCTTTCTCATTACAATTCAACCCAAATATCTTTATATTATTAATTGAGAAGTACATTCTAATGTTTGGATACAAGAATTAGAGAAACATCTATTTGGATAGAAGAATAAATGGAAACAAAAGTTGTTTGGATATAAGAATAAGAGAAAAATCTATTTGGATAGAAGAATAAATGGAAAAAATTGTTTGGATACAAGAATAATAACTTAAAATAAACCGATGGTTTAGAAAACTTCCGTTTTCCATCTCTTAAAAATCTGCAAAAAAAAAACTTAACATAATCTAACGATAATTCCAAATCAATAGAATATGCTTTTTGGATTTTCGGGTTTTTATAGACAAGTTCGGGTTTGGGTGAAAATCTGAGACATAATTTTATAGAGATATATATAGAGATATAGAAATTGTTCGGGTTTCTTTGAAAATTTCTGTTCGGGTTAGGTTCAATTTTTTTTTTCAGTTTAGGGTTTTCCGGATTTTTTAGATTTCTGGTTTTCGGGTTTAGATATATTAAAAAAATTGAGTATTTTAAAATTTTGATTAGGTATTGGGGTCGGGTTCCGGGTGAAAAAGTTTCCAGATTTTTTTTGTTCAGTCAGGGTTTTCGGGATTTTTTTGATTTCGGATTTTCATGTTTAGACCTATTAAAAAAGTTTGGGTTTTTAAATTTTTTGATTAGGGTTTTTTGTCGGGTTCGGATTTAGGGTTTAAATTTTCTACACAAAACAACAACGTCACACCGCACAAACGTGCGGGTACTCTACTAGTATTTTGCTAATAACAAATTAACACATAATCAGCTCGGACTATCCTACAATCCTACATCTATACGATCCTTGCGTGCTAAGAGGTTGGAAAAAAAATATACTAAGATGGCTGATGGCATACCGTTTTATCTTTCACATACTAAAAACGAGATTATTGGTGCGAGAAAATTGTTGTTGAAAAAAAAAAAAAGCAAAAGAAAAATCAGGCCTAGCTAGATGAGCGTGGAAGTATGTGTATGAATGTGGAAGACAAGTAAAAGTACTCACTGCATTCGCCTTGGTCTTTAATCTCCGTTACTGCACCATAATTTCTCCAGTCAACTGACTCGGGGAGCTCATTTCCAGCAAGTGGCACGTACCTACGACTTGTTCTGGGAGCCCTTTGTCTCACCATAGGGCGTTGAGAGAAAAGGTCTCGGTACTCTTGTAAGGTTAGGTCAGCAAACCGAGTCAAACCGAGCTTGTAAGTGAGGTTCTTGGCATTGTGCTGGTCGATGAAGCGGAGATTTTCCTTGAAGTTCTGAAATCGCTGTTCCTTCTCTCCGAGAGCATTGGTATAAATCTTCCCATGCTTTGACATCCACGTTTTGAAGAGGAAGCCAATCTCTTCGTTGCTCCGGCGGCCACCGTCCGAGTCGAGGGGAAGGTCATTGGCCGAGGACGGCGAAAGAACGAATATTAACAAAAGAAAGAGAACTGTCATGCAAGCTAATCTAACAAAACCCATTTGTGTATATTCTTATAAATGATTACGAAGAGATATATATATTGCAAGATGGGTGGGTATGGGAGAAACAAACGAATTTTGTTTTGGTTTATATAGATATTTTGGTAAATGGGTCTACGGATTTCTTTCTTTTTACAGTAATGTTACCTATTTATAAACATCTACCTTATTTGTTTTGGTCAAATCCACAACTATATTCAAGCACCAGCTCATAGTTTTGTTGAATATAGTTTATAGAAATTTTAATTTACTTTTTGTGACACATTGATTCAATCACAAATGTTATTCAAAAGTTTCCTTCAAAGTTACCTATTGAGATGATTTGTTACTAGATTTGATATTTGTGAATCATAGAAATTTAGAATTCCCTTAGCAATCCAACAAAATATATGTAGAATTCACTGTATCCAGCTGGTACTTCAATCAACAGCCGTTTGATATGTGTGAGAGTAAGTTTAGTGCGTCAAGGCCTTATCATGATTATAGAAATGTTTAGCCAATTAATTTCCTTTTTTTATGTCATTATCTAGTTAACTTCTTGAAAATGCAAATCCTCAAATTCTAAGTCTTATACATATACAGTAGAAACTCTATAAATTAATAAAGTTGGGTCTTTGATATTTTATTAATTTATGGAGTTTTTAAATTATGGATTTTGAAGAATTTTTTATTATTAATAAATAATTAAAATAAATGATTTAATAAAATAAAAATAATATATTTTAAAAAGTTTATTACATTTTGTATAGTTTCATTCGAAAATTAGGGAGGAATTCTAAATATATTAGATTATCAAAGATATGTATTAAATAATATTATTTATGATAATTATTAATTTATAATATTAATTTGGCTATATATTTACATAGAAGTTTCAAAAATATTTTTATTTTATTATCTTATCGAATTTTGCTAATTTTAACATTGGTCTGACTTGGGATCGGAGAAAATTATTATTTTATAGATCGATTTTATTAATTTATCGAGTATTAATTTATAGAATTTCTACTGTAGATAATATGATGCTTTTTTACATCAAATTTGCATAAGCGAAAGTGTTATGAATTCAAATAATCTGAGGAGATTTAGAATCTTATTATATAAAGCTGAAAGTGCACAACATGGTTGAGACACAATATACTTATTATTGAATTATTACATATGACTATTACTGTTTATTGTATAAAGGAACTGAAATATTTTATGTTATTAAGAATTTTTTTACCGGGTTTTCAATATAATTTTACAGAGTAATCATATTTTGTTTAATATTATTTCGTAAATTGTTTTAAAATTTTGAAAATAAAACTCGCGTTTTCGTTGAGTAATATATAAGGGACATAACCAATATTTTTTGTCATTACCGATTGATTAATTATGGTGGATTAATCCCATATTTAAAACATAATAGAAAAGAACATTATTCCAGTTTCTATCAAAGTACTAGGCCTAAGATAGATTCCTTGAGACATACTCAAACAAACACATAATTGCTCTGATCATGCTTTAATTAAGCAAGCTTGACAGGGTATGAAGCAAGCTTCGTGATCCCACATAAACCTGGTGCATCTCCAATGTTACGAGCCATCCTAGCGTAGCCAGCCTCTCCCCATTCTGTGCCCCATGAGTTTTTCACGATCCAATAGTCGTTACCGCCGTCATGACCGTACCCGACAATAACAACCGCATGGTCAAGCGATGTCCCGCAGGGTCCATAAAATATACCCTTGATGACATCGAAAATGTAAATATGCACCATTATAAACTATTTAATCGTATATAACGTGGATTTAACCCAAAATAAAAAGAATTTAAAAAGGAGGATTTGCTAAATGCCTACCGAGTCGTAGAGCATAAATTCTTGGGAACTTTTATCTATACCAACACTTACGGGCTGGTGAGCAACCGCCTTTTGTAGTAAAATCTCATTATTCGGAAGCACATCCTCGTAGTCATCAATAGTAACGGCTTGGTAAACTTTAGTCTGCGACAAGCGTACCAAAAACAGTCAGAACTAAGTACTGAAAATAAGAGCTTATATATATATATTGACGGTAGTACTAGTTAGGGAGTCTACCATTTTCCGGTTACATTGGCCTGAAAGGCCAAGGCTATTGTATGGATAATCATCTAGGGAATCAAGACCTTTGTTATTGATAAGGAACTGGAAAGCTGCGTCCATATAGCCTCCTCCATCACAACCGTGGTTCTCCGTGTTGCAGTCGATCAATTCTTGCTCTGACAATCTGACTAACTTGCCCGTCACGATCTGGTTTATTCCCTCAACACTTGCCACTGTGGAGTATGCCCAGTCGCTACCTTTTGTTTCAAAAAAAAAAAACATAATATATTAATATTTAATCATGATTATCTTTCGATTGCTTCAAACACGAGTAGTTGTATATAGTAGATATATGTACAGGATATTTTGCTAATAGAGACTTTTAGAACTTAGAACTGTCATATACTATGGTATTTAGTTATTTACTATTCTCTTTCTCAATCCAGCAACAATTTTAAAATATAATAAAAACCATAACTAGCTCTTCAAAATTTTATGGTTATATATGATACAGAAATTTACTGTTTTCAAATCGTTTGTGCAAGAAAATTATGGACCAACGGTCTGAAATTATTGGTTGAATAAAAAAAACAATCAAGCCTAGATCCCTCTAGAATTATTGGTTTAAATGTGGAAGACAAGTAAAAGTACTCACTGCAAATTTTGCCTTGGTCTCTAATCTCCGTTACTGCACCTTCCTTCCTCCAGTCAACACACTCGGGGAGGTCATCTCCGGGAAATTGCTCGTACCTACTACTGGTTCTGAGAGCCCTTTGTCTCGCTAAAGGGCGTTGAGAGAAAAGGTCCCCGTACTCTTGTACGGTTAGGTCAGCAAACCGAGTCAAACCGAGCCGGTAACTGAGGTTCTTGGCATTGTGCTGGTCGATGAAACGGAGATTTTCCTTGAAGTTCTGAAATCGCTGCTCCTTCTCTTCGAGAGCATCGGTATAGATCTTCCCATGCTTGGACATCCACGTTTTGAAGAGGAAGCCAACATCTTCGTTGCTCCGGTGGCCACCGTCGGATACGAGGGTAAGGTCCTTGGCCGAGGACGGCGAAAGAACGAATATTAACAAAAGAGAGAGAATTGTCATGCAAGCTGAGCTAACAAAGCCCATTTTTGTATATTCTTTTTTTTTGTTTGACCAAGTATATTCTTATCAATGATTATGATGAGATATATATATTGCAAAAGCTACAAAAAGATAGAAAAATAAGAGAATATAGAGTATATTGCAAGGTGGACATGGGAGAAAGTAACGTGTTACCTTATGATTGGTTTAAATTAATTTGTTTCTGAGAATTTGATTGTTCTTCAGATTTTATTTCTTTGTACAAAAGTATTACCTATAAAAAAAAGTAAAGCTGATTAGTGAATACATTAATCCAGAAGTATATTCAGGAATACCAGCTCATAATTTTTTTTTTTTTTAAGTTTCCCATCATTAAGTTACCTATTAAGGATTGTATTTTCTATTTGTGAATCATATATTAAGATAAAAGTTAAAATTGTTCCTAAGATTTTCTTACTTTTTACAAAAATATTACCTATAAAAGTATAAATACAGTGAAGCTGATTGAAGAATACATTAATCAGCAAGTATATTCAGGAATACCAGCTCATAGTTTTGTTTTTTAAAAGTTTCCCATCATTAAGTTACCTATTAAGGATTGTATTTTCTATTTGTGAATCATATATTAAGATAAAAGTTAAAATTGTTCCTAAGATTTTATTTCTTTTTACAAAAATATTACCTATAAAAGTATAAATACAATGAAGCTGATTAAAGAATACATTAATCAGCAACTATATTCAGAAATACCAGCTCACAGTTTTGTTTTTCAAAAATTTCCCATCGTTAAGTTACTTATTAAGGATTATATTTTCTAATTGTGAATAATATTAAAATAAAAGTTCAAAAAATGTTATTAAGATTTTATTTCTTTTTACAAAAATATTACCTATAAAAGTATAAATACAGTGAAGCTGATTAAATAATCAACAAGTATATTCAGGGATACCAACTCATAATTTTGTTTTTCAAAAGTTTTCCATCGTTAAGTTACCTATTACGGATTATATTTTTTTTCTGTGAATATTAAGGTAAAAGTTCAAAAAATGTTATTAAGATTTTATTTCTTTTACAAAAATATTACCAATAAAAGTATATTCAGGAATACATGTTCATAATTTTATTTTTCAAAAGTTTCTCATCGTGAAGTTACCTATTAAGGATTATATTTTCTTTCTCTGAATCATATTAAGACAAAAGTTCAAAAAATGTTATTAAGATTTTATTTCTTTTACAAAAATATTACCAATAAAAGTATATTCAGGAATACCAGCTCATAATTTTATTTTTAAAAAGTTTCCCATCTTGGAGTTACCTATTAAGGATTATATTTTCTATTTGTGAATAAGATAAAAAATAAAAATAATAATAATAATAATCATATTAATATACATTTAAAATTCTTGTAAATGTAATATGGTCTTATCACGAAAAAAACCCGGCCCAAAGCTACATTACCAACTGACGTCGTTATCCAATTAACTTCTTGGATAACGAAAACTATCCCATAATGAAATGTCGCCTCATCATATGCCTAGTTGTTGCCTAAGGTTCAACTCATGTCTCACACATTTGCCTTTCAAAAGTAGCGACGGATGTCAACTACACCGATTATATTATTAAATTGTTTATTGGTTTTTTCTAACTGTCATTAACGGTTAATTCAACCGACCATAATAACTTAACTATAAAATTATTATAAAGGACCAAAGTCTTGATAGCCGTAATTTTCGCTTGCATTTGTCTGACCGCACTCATTTTTGTATATATGCACTTAGAAAATGACAAATATTACATAAGGGAATATATTATTGAGTTGTGTTATTGATACAAGAACCAGCTTCCGACTAGAGATCGTCTATGCAGTTGGGGTCTCAATATTCCGGACGTTTGTCTTCTGTGCGGAACTGATCTGGAATCACGGAATCACCTTTTTTTCACTTACACTTTTTCGTCCCAAGTTTGGATGGCTTTCTTTCATCATCAGGATCTATCTCCTCCTATAGATTTTGATTCGGCCGTATCTTGAGTGTGCTCGGCTCATTCGCTTCCCAACATTAAGCTTATTTGTAAACTATTGCTCCAAGCAGTGGTTTATATTATTTGGAAAGAGCACAACTCTCGACTTCACAACTCCCTATCCAAGACCCCCCAATCCTTGGTAAAGGAAATCCAATTGCTTCTATGTGCCAAACTGGCTGGTCTAGACAGATCAAAAAGCCACACGAACAGAGTAAGAGCGGCTTCTTCAGAAGCGTCTCATTCTTTCTTATACCATTGGTTCGAATTCATCCAGCAATAGCACAATTTCTCCATTTCTCACACGAGTTTTATGTAATATTTTCCTTATTTCTTGTTGTATGTTTGTTTCTTTTCCTTATCTTGTATTTCAAATGATACTTCAGCTATAAAAAAAAAAAAAAAAAAAAAAAAAAAAACAAGAACATAAAACTTATGTATATAAAGTTTAACATTAACATACTGATAACACCAAGTATATGTAACTTTTCCTAATTTTTATCATAATGCGGAACTCTACGGAATATTCTTCAGTTGAGTTTCATAGGTTTCACTTCATAAACGAGTTTCAGTGACCCACAATACTTGGTTCGCTTTGCTCACCAAAATATATTCAATAAAAAATTCCGAATATATTTGTGTTGAATATGAGATTTTGAAGAAAACAAAATTGAGATCTGGAAAGAATGTCATGCAAATTAATTACTCTTAATTGTACCATATTCTCCGTATGCATCAATATAAATTATTTGTACAATTCGATCTTCAGAATAAACTTGTTTAGCAAATTTCAGAAATTTAATCAAAGAATTAAAGGTGATCTCGAACGCAATATATGCGATTTATTTTTTCTTTTATAGAACTATCGTCATCCTTCATTTTTCATAAAAATAAAAGTAACTTAAAATTTGATATATTTCTGTGAATTCGGATTATACTTGTCACGTGTCTTACAACTTCAGAATAAACTTGTTTAGCAAATTTCAGAAATTTAATCAAAGAATTAAAGGTGATCTCGAACGCAATATATGCGATTTATTTTTTCTTTTATAGAACTATCGTCATCCTTCATTTTTCATAAAAATAAAAGTAACTTAAAATTTGATATATTTCTGTGAATTCGGATTATACTTGTCACGTGTCTTACATTCGAGGTCACCCTTGAAACCTTGATCGCAACTCTCTATAAGTCTCTCGATCTTGATGTCACAAGAACTGATGAACTGTATTTGTGATAAAAAAAAAAGATGACAGAATTGAGAAGAAAAAAGGTAGAGAAAAGAGCGACGCACACAAGAACTAATGAGTCACATCAGAGAAGACAAATACATGACGTATAACATTCCGACTCCAAGTAATATATAGGTGACCGACAGAATCACAGAAATGTAAAAGCTGTTTGTATAAACAGCGTGACCCCATGAATATGATACTATTAATACTTAATAGTTCTCATGATATTTGAATTTTCTTATTTATATCTATAAAATTATTTGATTTGCTCACCTATGTCTTTCTAAGTTGATACTTCATACACTCTAATTACAGTTACATCATACTTTCTTAATATGGTGTTCCAAGTGAACCAAACCCCTAGTCCCAAGTTTTAACTATTGCATTTTCTTAGTCCAAATGCAGCCTATCGCTTATGCTTTTGTCGTTTATGATTTTATCGTTTTCCGTAATTAGAAAGATTTTATCATTTTTTTCAAGTTCGATCAGGCTTCTTCTATAGTTCTTGAGTATAAACGTGATCATACAATAATACCATCATTATTAGCTGGATTGCATAGGTTTTTTCATTGACTTAATATCAAAGAATCTTTGAAATGCACCACCAAAATTTCTCTATTTTTGTCATGTTCATGACCAAGTGACACATGCGAAAATCCAAAAATATATAATGTTTTGAAGATATATCCACCGGTTTAGAAAATAAATATAAATGAGTAACACACCATTTTTAAGAGAAACGTTTAGATGTCGACAGAAATTCCAACTCAGAATATATCTTTCTTTGCATATCTTTCACCCTAGCATCCTTTTTAGACGTCGTCATTGATATTGCTTTCTCAGGAGCTTAGTGAAATATGTGACATCACTAGCCTATGAAAAAATATTGTGATTTGTGTCACTACTTTATACACATGTAAATTTCCTTATTCCTATCATCCAAATGGGAAATAATCTAGGATGTACATATTTTCATAGATCTTAACTTGAATATATCCTAATACAAAACAAAAAGGAATTAATATAAATTTAATCCATTTCAACGAAAAATGACTTCAATATAACTTAATTAATTATGTAACTAAAAAATCTCATTGAATAGATCTCATTCAGATAGAAACATTAAAATATGGTTTTTAAACCTTTTCTTTAAGTTTATGGTTGTAAAGAGAAAAAAAAATAGACAATTTTTTTGATAATTTTTTAAGATAAAATGACGTATAAAATAGAAAAAGTCGTCAAGAGACCAAAGACGAATATTCTTTGCTCACGCGAAACCCAAAGAAAAGGTAAAAGAAAGATAAATAAAAAATCGGCTTGCATTAAAAAACTCTCTCCGACAAGACATGTTTTCCACCATTTACACTTCCTTCTTTCATCCAAAATCCCAAAACCCTTTTTTTGTTTCCATATCTCTTTCATATTCCTCTGTTTTTCCCCCTTCAAAAATCTCTCCTTTATCTCCGGAATTAAACTCACTGTCGCTTTGATTCGTCGTCACATTACCACTAATGGCGCCGGCGACGGAATTTCAGGGCTCCTTCCTAAGCCGAATCAGCATCCGCCGCAACCAGATCGTCTCCATGGATGTCAATCACGAGGCAGAGCTCGAGGAACTCGAATGTTTCCAGAAACACGTAGCGGATCGTTTCTCGGAGTTAATCTCTCCATCGCCGCCTCCTTCCTTCTCTTCCTCCTCCTCTCAGCCGTCTGATCCGATTCTCTCGATCCCCTGGCTACTAAACCTCCTCGATGCTTTCACGTCCTGCGAAACCGAGTTCAAGGCGATTCTGACAACGACTCAGATCTCAAAGTCTCCGTCTTTAGAGAGGGTTTTGCCGGAGATGCTTGATCGGATTCTAAAGGCGCTGGATATCTGTAACGCCGTCGTCAACTGCATTGATTCCGTTAGACAGAGCCGGCGTCTAGCGGAGATAGCCGTCACGGCGCTAAAACAACGGCCTTTATGCGACGGAAGCGTCCGTAGAGCCAAGCGTGCGTTAACAAATCTCCTCATTGCCTTAAACGCCGATGGTAAAGATAGAAACGGCGGAAGTGGTGGGACCAGTAACCGAAGGACAACGTCACGGTCTTGGTCGTTCGGACAGAAGAGCAATGTCTCCGGAGGATCATCTGGCCACGTCAGCAAGAATTGGTCAGCGACGAAGCAGATTCAGGCGATGGTGGCTAATCTGGTACTGCCACGTGGAGCAGAAGCGTCTGGACCGGCGATGCCGGTATACATAATGAGCAGTCTTATGGTTCTTGTGATGTGGGTGCTGGTGGCGGCAGTTCCTTACCATACAAGCAGCGTTCTCGCGGCGCCGTTGCCGCTTCCGAAACACCAGAGCTGGGCTAGCGCCGCCGTGAACATTCAGGAGAGGGTCGGTGAAGAGATGAAACGGAAGGTGAAGCGTTGTGGTGGGTTTACAGGAGGACTGATGGAGGAGATGCAGAGTTTGGAAAGGATTGGATTGTCTTTACTGGAATTTGCAGAGAGGTTTAAGTTTCCGGCGGAGGAAGAAGAGGAGGAGGAGGTTTCAGAGAAGGTGGATGAGATGGAGGAGGTTTGCCGGAGAATGGAAGTTGGATTAGAGGATTTGCAGAGACAAGTGAGGGAAGTGTTCCACAGATTGGCGAGAAGCAGGATAGAGATTGTTAAGCTGCTTGAACAAACTCCTGCAACAATCTAATCTGTAAATCTTCAATAACAACAAAATCTTTTCTCTTTTACTATTTTCGAGGTTTCTAGTCTAAGAAAAACTAATCTTTGAAAAACTTGGTGTATAACCTACAATGCGTATACAACATACACACCGTGTTCAGTTTTTGGTATATGAAAACTGCAAAACTCTATTGACTGGGATTAGATTCATTGTGCTTTCCTGAATCTGTTCTTCTGTGGCTTCCGCATCTCTTTTCCTGACTTGTGATTGTTTCCGGAAGCTTCTCTCTGTTTACCGAAGCTTCTGTTAGCACCAGGGCGCTGTGGTCCTGTTGTTCTGCTTCTGTTTACGTCGGAAGCAGGTGTGTTTTGATGAGTGGTCTATGGATGTAGTCTGTGAATCATTGGTTTCTTCTTTGTCTTTTGATTTCGCCGAACGGTTCTGCACAGTAAGATGAAAGTTCCAAGATGATGCAGCCATCTCTTTCAAATTGAGATCTATAAGAAAATTCACAAAGAGATGGGGAGAGAGAGAGACACACACACACACCTCTAAAACTGTCTGGATGAAACTCTTGTACTTCTCTGGCGTGGCTAATTGGACTGCGCGGGTGCCACACTTCCTTACCATAATCTCAACAATGATCGTTACCTATATGCACATTTTTTTCGTAAGGCAATCATCATAAAGAACTTGAAATCACTATGAAACTACATTTAAGCACTGTTCTCAATATTACCTTTGATCTAAAGTAATGTCTTGAAACAGACGACCAGGGGAGAATTTCAAATAAGAGGTTCTGTAGTAGGCTCTGCAAGTCCTGAGCTTCCGATGTAGAGACTAAAACTTTCACGAAACCCAAAACAGCCTGGAGATAACACGAAGACGCATGAGAAACTTAAGAAGAAAACCAAAAGTAAATACTTGAGAGGAACGACATTTACAGGTCAGAATAAAAAGGAAAAGGGTAGGCTTTTTTTTTTTGGTTTTAAAGGGTAGGCTTTTACTTTTATGATCTCAATGGATTTGGTGTGAAGCAATGATAAAACAGAGGAAAGAAGCTCTGGTGACGATAGGCAGATCTCAGGGTCTTTGTATATCAAGACAGATAACGCAGACACTGCTCCACTTCTTATGTGCGGCGATGATCCAGAAATATAACCCGATATCTGAAGAATCATAGATGCTGATTGGTCATTTGAGAGACAACGAGAGTGGACTAAATTGATATAGGGAGCTCCTCTCATGCACTTACCATGTTAATAAATTTGGGACAAAGCTCATCACCGGTGTCAGATGACGAATTTTTTAAGGTGGTATATACCATAACCAGTGCATCACAAGCTGATTTCCTATGTTCTTCTTTCCCCTGTATATGCAAAGGCAAGATAATGCACACAAAATGTTAGGTTTGTTTAGTAATGTTGTTTCTCTAAGTAATTGAGATGTTTACATCTTTAAGAGTCAGGATCATCTCGTTCAGGATAAGGAAAGCCTTCTCATTGTCCTCCTCGGAGCTTGACTGCAGAAAAAAGGGTAAAATATCAAGAATATTGGTCATTCTTCATAAGGCAACAGAGGATTAACAAAGCATGGATATACTAAAGCTATAGTTCAAGTTTGATGGGGTAGTCTTTCATTAACAACAAATGAGATACTGATATCAAGTTTCAATGATACAAAAGGATATGTTTTTAAACCTGAATTCCATGCGCCATAAGAACGTGGAAACATGCAAATCGACTTTCAGCAGATGACGCATCCTCCGGAGTTTTATGGCGGAGTAACATCTCTATCACCTCTGCAAAATGTGATGAACAAAACCCACTATGTTCCTGCACCAAAGAAGGCAAAACCACATAAATAAGCATGGAGTATCACCTAGTGATCAGAGAAAGAGCTAGTACAAGAAGGTCAGGTGAGATAAGCAACCTCTAGAACTTTGCTCAGAGTATCATACGCCCCACGAAGATCAGCATCGTCAGTCGCCTAAAACCAAAACAACTCATGGATCAGCCTCTACATAGAAAGATCTCTAAGCTGAAGTTTAGAAACATACCTGAAAACTTTGGCGAACAAGAATATAAATCAATTCTAGAAGATCTTCTTTGGCTCCTTCAACAAATGAAGATGCAAGATCCAGCACAGCACTCCTGCAAGAAAGTGTCAACAGTGTCATCAGGTATAGGAAAGATTTTACGAGGAATAGTTTCACAATAACAGATAATATACCAGGGCCCAGCATATTTCTAGAACTATACCTCTTTAACTGTGTCTTTGTAGCACTATCGTTTTCTTTTTCTTCATCCATTGAATCATTAGACTGATCGACCTTCCCTTCAATCTCGCTTTCACCAGCAGGATCAAACTTATTTAGCAAGGAAATTAGAATCTTTTTCCTCACTGAAGAATCCAGAGTAGAAGCTAAGCATCCAATTGCAGCCTGACACTACAAAAGCATAAACGATGTGAAATTTTTCTTCAGCCAATCAAAACTTCAACCAGTTAGACCAAAAGACCACATTGACCTATGCTGAAGAAATAGACGTATAGAAGCAAAAATGTTTTTCGAAAAAGAAATAAAGATCACCGTATGCATCCTGATTAAATAAGAAATTAAACAAACCAAATTCCATTAATAGTTCGAGAAAGAAAGAGATTGAGTACTTTTTCCATGCTTATACATATAGTTTCTGTTCAAAGTAACTACCGTCTATGGCCTACGAAAATAGTAGGAGTTCATCTGAGTTTTAACCACACAGGAAAGAAGAAAAACCGATATGTCCAAGCAAACAAATATATACAATGTAGTCCCTATCACATGTAAGGTACATTTTTCCAAGTGGAGAGACAACGGAAGACCTTAACCAATTTTTCATAAGTTTATAATGCAGAGAAAAAGAAGAAAATTTGTAAACCTTGAAGTCTGCACTGATCTCTTTGCCTGAAACAGTGAATACATCGACAAGAGTTTGAAGCAACTCTGTCGAGCTTGATGCCAAAGCCTTCGTGTTTTTTGTTGAAGCTTTCTTCGAATAGTGAAATCTACTTTCAACCTCTGGTTTAGCATCTTCACTTATATTGGCTTTTGGTTCATCCATATCTGTACTGGGCTTAGGCATTCTTTTATTCTGATTTACAAGCATCTACACAAGGAACATTTTAATGAGATCAAACTTAGTAAAACAATAGAATAATGAGAGCAACCCAAGTTGTCAGCTCACCTGTAGAGAAAGGGCCACAGCTTCATGCATGAAAGATTTTTTCTTGATGAATTTAACCATCAGTTTGGCTAACGATCCAAACTTTTTGGGCACATCAACTGGATAGTTACAAAAGGCAGGTAATAGTCTTAGAAGCTCATGACTACAGGTTCGCAACTCTTTGCCGTGAGCTGACTTTTTCTCTAGCGAACAAACATATAAAATAAATGTTAGTGAGAAAATTGCCAGACACATAGGTGGTATCTATCTCCTTGCATAACGTAAAGCAAGTGGCAGAAAAATATAGTAAACTCAGAATGCAAACAAAACCCAAAGCAATAGAAGATATGAAAAGTCTAGTCCATTTATTGTGAATGAAATTCTAATTGTCTGCATAGAAGTGTACCTCCTTTAGATGCAAGCATCAACGATTGTGCAAGGGAAACAATGTGGTCAATGTAATACTCAAGTGATGATCCAACGATATATTTTCTTAAGATAGGAATAAGCCAAGCATTTGCGCATGAGCGACTCTCAGCATGAAAGGTGATAGGAAGAAGTGTTAGTAGCCTCACAGGCCCCATGGCAACCACTGCAGACCCAATGCATTGCTGAACCTGCCGATAAGTCCAATCTAGTATAAATCAAATGACATAGAAACTCTTTATCTAGTTATAAACTTAAAACATAAAAATATGATGTGAATCAAGATGTCCTTCCTCTAAATAACAAAATAGCGTTGAGTGCATTACTGAGTATCAAACGTACTATCATCCGCTGGGACATTCAGAAAAATAACTCTTAACCTTCTGAACCAACCATATTCCTTAAATAAGAAACCCGTACCATAAATGTAACAAAATGAGCCATTTTGTAACAAATAATTTACAAATCTAGAAAGTTAGGGAAAATTAGTCAAGTGGAGATTTATTATCATCTTACATGTTCTGAGCTCGAAGTATCTCCATTTGCACTTTTCATCATGTCGGCAAGCTTAACTATGATATTCTTTGCAAGGAAATATGAAAGCTCTCCTGAAACAACGGGAGACAGAATTAAATACTTCTCTCGGAAGATGTAATAATCACCGATCTTAATTAACATCTAGGAAAGCAGATTTTTTGTTTGTAACAGTTTTTTCTGTAGCTAGCATGTTCATGATGACAAAACATAGCATCCAAGTGAAAGTAGACATACCAAGTTTCTCGATCAAAAGAGCCGTGACAGATAAAATGTGCTCTTTTGGAATTCCATCACATGAGTTTAGGGTACTCTCTAAAACGGCGCATACACATCTTGCTGCATTTATATTCTCTCCACCGGTTAAGTTATCCTCATCTCCACAAGTCAAGCTTCCCTCGGTTAGAAGACTATTTGTGTCAATGTGGCTACTGATCAAGTCTTTCAATATAATTGAGGCTTGGGATGCAACATCGTCCGTGGAAGTCAGAAGGCCTAAAGCATAAGAATTTAAAGAAATATTTTAAAACCCAAGCACACAATGAAGAACAAAAGAGCTAGATGCTGAAAAGTTTGGGGGGCGAAACAAACCTGCTAATGACCCACAAACTAGTGGAAGTTTCTTTAGACATAATGTAGGTTCGACCGACTCGGCTTTCTCCAAAGAACTTTTTAATAGGTTGGTCACATGCACGATGGTGTCAGCAGGATTCTTTTCGTGTAAAGATAAATAGCTAGTCAAAGATGCTATGACTCCTTCTATCTCAGGAACAATAAGTGTATCTTCCAAATTCTTGAAGATAGCATCAATCGCTTTGAGAATTTGTCTCGTCAACGGCGAGAATTGAGAAGCCATAAGACTGCAGAGTTCTGAAAAAACTCTAGAACTAACTTCGCCAGAGAGAAACGGAATTGTAGCACTGAGCACATTTAGCACATGAGCAGCCTCTGCGTTCTCGGATTTCAACGTTGACTCAACCTTAGATCCTTCCTCGATCTTTGTCGAGCTTAACTCAGATAAGACAGGTTTGTATTCTTCAAGTAAAGCATATACTGTATCACTTGCTTCCTTGATAACAGTAGCTGATCGGAGAGAACCAAATAGTTTCTCCAAACACTCTTGAGCACACCTCCTAACCTAACAGAGCAAAGACACAAACTTTTCATCACAATTTTATAATTCTTGCAAAAATGAAACTTTGAAAACATGGCAATACAAGAATGGCTTCTTCACCAGCAAGCTCAACGCTTTCAATGGTCACTCTATAGACAGTAAAGGTTCAATCCAAACAAAGTCAAGCGATTCTAAGAAGCAAAGAAGTGGGAAGCTCAAAAGGTGTTACCTTTGGGCGTTTATCAATGGAGAATTTGAGAAGTGAAGCAAAACCGACTTGAAGAGATTCCCAATCATCCAAATCGCAGAAGCCAACGAGCAAGGTCCCAATGCACTTGACACCAGCTCTCAAACTCGCAACCCCAAGTTTATCTCCTTCTTCTTCAATTGGTTTTACCAGCACAGCCACAGCCTCTCCAGCCATTGTAGCTGAAATCCCTCCGGGAGGAACCAGAGGGATTACTAGGGAAAGGAATGTCAGCAGAGCGGAAATCGCCGTGGGGTCCGCCGTCGATGATTCCACCGAGGAAATAGCAGCTGCGAAGAAAGCAGGAGGAGACGGCGGAAGAGACTCCGAGGTGAGAATTGAGCGCATCGCGGCGGCGGTGGCGACGAGATGGCGGTGCTGAGAGGCCGAGGACTTGGCGTAACGGTCCATGAGCTGTTGGCAGATGTCGGTGTCGCCATCTTTGAAGGCAATTTCATCGTTTTCGTCCGCTCTGTCTTGCTGTCCTGCTTCCAAGGCCGCCATAGCTCGGAGAGATTTTTCTAGGGTTTAAGGAAGAAGAGTGACGTTGACGAACAAACATGATTTTAACTAAATAAACCAGTGAGCACAATAGACCGGAAAACGCATCCGGTTCAATTTACCATGACTTTTACCGGTTCAATTCTTGGGTTTGGATTAGATTAAGTCAAAATTATATCGGGTTTGGTTTACCATAAGAGAGTAATTAAACTCTTAATTAAACACTGATGTTAGAAAAAATGGATACATGCTATGTTTTAGGGGCACAACCTATATAGTTTTTAATATTTAGAAAATGGAAAATAGTAGAGTTGCTGTAAATTTGAGATTATGGACCAGATTTTGAAAGGTTACTGTAATTGCTCAATACTTCACTGATTGATTTATCGTTCTTCAGTATCGCCATCACCACCACTTGTGAAACCCACTCGCCACTACCTTTGAAATTTCTTACAGAGTTCAAGTTTGATTATTATTTTTTTGTTGAGTACAAAGTTTGTTTTTGTTAAAGGTAAGGAGTTCAAATTTAAAATTTGGTACAAATTGTATAAACTATTCATATATTTGTTTAGATTACATAAACTATTCATATATTTGTTTAGATTACATAGTTACGGTTTGATTATTTTCATATACAAAAAAAAAAATTGTATTCTTTAACCTCATAATAATCCATTAGTTTTAATGTTTATCACTTCCCCAAATTGATCATTAGTCGACTCAAAATCAATGTAAGTGTATAGATCAATCAAATTGCCAGCGGTTGTATGGTTTATCTATTTATGTTATTTATGCTTGTTCAAAAATATATACCAATACTGAGTTAATCTTATTGTTCATTTCATTCAAAAAAAAAGCGTCCTTTTCTAAGATCGATACAAAACTATTTGTTTTTTTTTACTCTCAATAATGTGGTTTACAAATATACAATTCAATTGGTCAGTGATGGGACGAAAACGCGTACGGAGACATATCACATCAAATCCAAAGTAATTTAACAGAATATGAATGACAATAAGTTTATCGGCTTTAATATTCAATCAATCAAACAATAATAACAATATAACTCTGATCGACCAAAAATGTTGAGTGACAATGTGATCTTATCACCACCTTAGACAAGAATAAATTCGTGCATCAACTATTGAGAAAAAAGACGTACGCCTCAGCATTCCTTTGTACGGAACACGTTTTCTTTTCTTTGATAAACTGTACGGAACTAATATGACTAATGGAATTGATAATTTCTTTCAAGTTACTCATATTACATTTTAACCAAGCAATGTTAAAAAAATTGCTAGACATTTGCTATGTTCAGTATATGAGTTTCGTGTCTAGATCAAGTAATTGGAGTTTTAGCTAAATCTAGACGTTAGTACATTCATTAACTGGTGATGATTAGCTGTTAACGTTACATATGTGAAAACAAAAGTATTACCGATATACGACACCTCCGTTGAATGTTGTATTTTTGTTTACTGTATATGGCACACGGTTTCAATTTTGTTCTTCTGTTTAATTTTGAATAAGAACTGGTTTTTGGAAAGATAAAACTGAAATGGATAATCTATAGTGATCACATGCTTAGCGGAACATATACATATACATGCATACATCTAACGTACAGTTCTTTATATACGTATACGCACAGTATATACAAATTAACTAGTGCAAGTGGAACCCTACGCATGATGTCACGAATATAATTTCTAAGTAGCTTGTAGAAATTAAATTCATTTAAAAAATTCGGCAACCATATAATAAGTGATATTATACTTTATCAAATACTTACTTATCACAAGTAAATAATACATCAATCAGTCATTAGATTTCATACCTCCAAAAGTACATGGAGTTTTCATACACAAACATAGATAGATCGAAGTTCATATGTTATTTATTTCTTCGATATCGTATGATATAACTTACAGCTTAGTGAACATGTACATTACATATCATTAATATTGAAAATAATTAGATTTATAAGTATGTATTGGAGATATCTTGGTGAGCAAGGCGAACTAAGTATTGTGGGCCACTGAAACCCGTTTATGAAGTGAAACCCGTGAAGTTATATGGAAAAATATTCTAAAGAAATCCTATTGTGATAATGATTAGGAAGATTTACATTATTTGGTGTTATCGTTATGTTAATGTTAACCCTATATATATGGGTCTTATTCTCTTATATCAAGAACACAATTCAATAATATATTCCCTTCTATAAGATTTGTCATGGTATCAGAGTAGTCGATTCTGGACCACCCGTGGATGTTGTTCCCACAATTGCCCACGCTTCAGATGATGACCTCTAAACGTGAGGGGGGTGTTAATGATGAAAGTCTCACATCGGAAGTTGGAGAAATAATTAACTAATATATAAAGGGTTAGGGCCTCTCCACCTATTGCCAATTGGTTTTAGGTTGGATGTCCATGTGTTAACCCTAATTTGACACAAATCTTATAGAAGGGAATATATTATTGAATTGTGTTATTGATACAAGAGAATAAGACCCATATATATAGGGTTAACATTAACATAATGATAACACCAAATAATGTAAATCTTCCTAATCCTTATCACAATAGGATTTCTCTAGAATATTCTTCCATGTGGCTTCACGGGCTTCACTTCATAAACGGGCTTCAATGGCCCACAATACTTGGTTCGCCTTGCTCACCAAGATATCTCCAATACTCCCCCGCACGACAAAGGTGGACGCGAAACGCAAAATCTGCAGTCACAATGCGGAACACCTATGTCGTGGACAATCATGTCGAGGATGGCAATACAAGTCAATAGGGATGGAACATGCTCGTCTTTGGTCTTGAAAGAAAGGGAATAATAACATCCCGTGGAAGCAAAATCCTGCAATTCCACAAATAATCGTCCTTGTCGCGGACAGCCCATAAATTGGACTAAGAATAAATGACCTAAAAACATGAGCGCTCCAATAAAAATCCCTAAACCCATAACCAAACTCCCCCGTAATAGGAGAAACTAAAAACCTTTGAGAAATTCTAAACTTAAGAATCAATCTCATAAAAAAATATAATATAATGTGAAAACCCAGCCTAAAAAAAATCGCCTTTAAGAAATCTCCGATAAATCATTATCCCTTCAATAAGCTAACCAAACTAATATGATAAATAAAAACCTAAATTTGAAAAACCAATTGAAGACACGTACTTGTTAAAACCAAATTGGAAAAACTTATTAAATTGAAAAGAAAAACTAGAGAAAGAGAATAACGTGAGAGTGTTTCACGTCATCCGGATCGCCGTCGTCGGACTCTTCGTCTACACCGATTATCATGCGGAAGCTTTAGTTTTGGTCACCAAGAACCGAAGGCTCTGATACCATGTCAAATTAGGGTTAACACATGGACATCCAACCTAAAACCAATTGGCAATAGGTGGAGAGGCCCTAACCCTTTATATATTAGTTAATTATTTCTCCAACTTCCGATGTGGGACTTTCATCATTAACACCTCCCTCACGCTCAGAGGTCATCATCTGAAGCGTGGACAATTGTGGGAACAACATCCACGGGGTGGCCCAGAATCGACTGCTCTGATACCATGACAAATCTTATAGAAGGGAATATATTGTTGAATTGTGTTCTTGATACAAGAGAATAAGACCCATATATATAGGGTTAACATTAATATAATGATAACACCAAATAATGTAAATCTTCCTAATCATTATTACAATAGGATTTTTCTAGAATATTCTTCCATATGGTTTCACGGGTTTCACTTTATAAACGAACTTCAGTGGCCCATAATACTTGATTCGCCTTGTTCATCAAGATATCTCCAATAGTATGGTCGAAGCACAATTCACCAATCTTATGCGACACTAACTCTAAATACCGTTATAACGAAAAACACACCAATGTCGATATATACATGTTTGTGCAGCCCCATATGTATTAATTAAATATACATATGAACATATGGACCATCCATGATGGACATATTTAGGTGACTCTGTAATTACAAAAAAAAAAAAAAAACTGCACGTATGCTCTCTTGAAAAAAACGAACAATTGTTTGTTTATCACGTACGTATACTTATTTCACACGTTAAACGGACAATTCAGAGATATCGGTTTTATTTGTATTCTTGTGAGATCATCAATATCACTATATAATATCATATGTTGTCATGGTTTCACATACCATGTCGACATACAAAAAAAGTGTTTTATAGTCTGGTGTCTGGATCTAATCACATCACCAAGCAAGATTGGAGTAAATATTTTGGTACTGTAATAATGTGATATTAACCGAAATCAACAATGCTGTTATGACAATGATCTTGATTACATACATATATATATAAAAAAAAAAAAAAAAAAAAAAACAAGAACCATGGTCCATGCAACAAGTTGTTTAGTTACTTCCCATTCCGATGAGCTTCCACTGATCTATGTTGTCTTCCAATCATTTTTAATTGACTACAACGCAAATGTTTAAACACAGCATGTTTTCTTTGGGGATCATTAGAAAATTTTGAATATTAGGTTATGTAGATTATTTCAGTTATTTTTTTCTCTAAAAAGGAGAAAGATTAATTTTATTGTTTCGAAATGTAATAAAGTGATTTAAAAAATAATACTGCGCCGTTAGTATTGTTGTCTATTGTGTGTTTATACGTGTGTATATGAATGTGTAGGTATATACATAATTATATTGTGTATGTTTCGATATGTATATGCATAGACCGCCAAGTTGCTGCAAGAGGGGATGAAAATTTCTTCCCAGTTGCAAGAGCAAGCTGACTAATATTCTTTTTTAAAATAGTTTTCTCAGTATATTTTGTATTTATTATTTTGTTGACTTTGAGTCCTTCGCCTTTTCTTATTGCTTTTTATGGGACTGCAATCACCCGTGCCAACTTCCATTCTTCCTACCTCGCCTAAAGAAAGCTATCTTCATCATGGACCGATTTGTTTTAAGAGTTTAGTATAAAACTTCACAGATTAGATGCATCTCTAAAAAAATTAGATGCTAATTAATAGTTAGTTATCTATTAAAAAAAAAATCGCTGCTGAGAGCTAACTCATTTCGTCTATATTTACATATAACATTTTAGTTTGTTTGAGTTTTGCGTATGCATTTATAGTTACAAGATTAAAATGAATTTTAAATATCTATTTATATAGCATTTAAACATGTAAATATAATATACGAGTAAATGAGAATTATATTATTAAAAAAAATGAACAAGCGAAAAAAAGAAGATATTATATATTGGAGAATCTTTCTTTAGTCTTAGTTGGAAGATTTTGTGCTACGGGATTAAAGGTATCCCTATTCTAGGATATAGAGGCGTGGGGTCATTATATTGGACCAAACTAGAAATTACCACGAGGCTTAAGTTAAAGTGATAATACGTCTCAAATTATTTTTTAAATTTATTCTGATCAAAGAAGATTAATATATAGACTTAATCCAAAAGCTTAATATACTATATAGATCATACTTGCTGTCTAGTTAATTTTATCCAATAGCTCGTAACGTGAACACAAGGTAAGCTAGACTTACGTGCCACATTAAACACACACATAAATTACAAGTATGAAACTAGTGACAAAACCTTTATATATATAAAAAGAAAGTACTAGTGTACTGTGTACGTCATACATATGCATGTACAAATGCCGCTTTTTAGTATTTAAATCTTGTTAAAGCAACGATATTTAAATTCTCTTAAACTCATATATAATTCAAAAGACACATTGCCATTATATATATTTATATAACATATTGTCAATATTTGATCATTAAAATAACAGAATTATGGATGATTCTCAATTTGGAGTATGAAATATAATTGAGATATTTTGTCGGAGATGAGGTATTTTGACAAGTTAGCGCAATTGTATTAAATTCTAAGTTTAGGTACGAATTGACTTTTTCAAAAGTCTACTCAATAAATTTTAAAAGTTAAATGACTATCGGGTTTACATGGGAAATGAAAAAAACCCTAAACCACAAACAATCTCTTTTCTTTTCCGTCTTTATATAAACCGATGTTGCCCAAAAGGCTTTCTCTCGTCATATACTTGTCAGAGAAAAAAAAGAGTAAAAGAGGAAACAAAAATACAAAGAAAGAGAGTTATGGGTGAAGTGGCTTATATGGACGAAGGAGACTTACAAGCCATAGTGAGGGGCTACTCAGGCTCTGGAGACGCGTTTTCCGGTGAAAGCTCTGGTGGGGTTTCACCTTCGTTTTGTCTCCCGATGGAGATGGCTAGTTTCTACGAACCGGAGATGGAAACAACCGGTTTAGATGAACTCGGTGAACTCTACAAACCATTTTATCCTTTCTCCACACAAACGATCCTCACGAGCTCCGTTTCTGTCCCCGACGATTCTAGAAGTTTCCGAGATGAGAAGAAACAACGAGCTCATGGCGGTTGTCTTCTATCCAACGGATCAAGAGTTGATCATATCCGAATCCCAGAATCCAAATCGAAGAAGAGGTCAGTATATATTCTTGAAATTATCTTGAAATGAACAAAAAGATCCTAAATATTCTCACGTCACTATATAAAAAAATAATTTTTAGTTGTCTTAATAAGATTATGAATCATTAGTAAATTTAGTAATATATACCAAAATGGTTTTATCTCCAGCTGGATTTCGGTCGGGTCTTGTTTTTCAATTCTCATGAATATGCTCCCACCCTTGTTTGATTAAATAATAAATAAATGTTATATCTTTGAATTTGGACAGCAAGAAGAATCAACAGAAGAGAGTTGTTGAGCAAGTGAAGGAAGAGAATCTGTTGTCGGACGCATGGGCGTGGCGTAAATACGGGCAGAAACCCATCAAAGGATCTCCTTACCCAAGGTCTTAAACCAATCCCGGTTTAACTTCATATGAACATACCGGTTTAGCTTAAATTTCTCAATTTTCGTTGTTTGTTTCCTTTCTTCAGGAGTTATTACAGGTGCAGTAGCTCAAAGGGGTGTTTGGCAAGAAAACAAGTCGAAAGAAATCCTCAGAACCCAGAGAAATTCACCATAACGTATACGAATGAGCACAACCATGAGTTACCAACCCGGAGAAACTCATTAGCCGGTTCGACTCGAGCCAAAACTTCTCAACCCAAACCGTCCGTAGCCAAAAAAACCGGAAAACAAGTTGTTTCTTCTCCCACAAGTAACCCCATGATCACATCCGCTGATGAATCTTCTGTTGCTGTTCAAGACATGGAGGTTGCAGAAACGAGCGCCTACCAAACATCAGGAGAAATGGAGAGCATGAGTAGCCATTTGCCACAAGATTTAATGTCTGGAACCGGAACTTTCCCGAGTTTTACCGGTGACTTCGATGAACTACTAATTAGCCAGGAGTTCTTCAATGGGTACTTATGGAATTACTAGGAGCATTAGGTCTATGTAAATATATTTTCAAACTTATATTATAGTTGCAGCCATGCATTGAGGATAAGTGGATAACCGTATATTTATTTAGTTTTCGTGTTCTTGTTTCCAGATTAAGCTTTAACCAATATAATTCTATGTTTCCTTGTCATCAAAATGCTAAGACAATTCGTTTTATCCAAAGTTTTATATTCCCATTTCCAAATATATTTCTAGGTTTATCTCAACATTTGTCACTGTTCTAAAAAAGGTCCGCCAAAAGACACGTTAGAGGCTAGGTTAAGTGGAATAGTACTCCTCTAGACTGTCTAAAGACTTATTTAGGCATCCTAGAAAAGCTATTTGGTAAACATGCAACTCAGCCGCCCAGCCGCATTTCGTGTTCGAATGAATGTGCAAACTATATATTTTCTCGTTTATAAATCAATTATGGACCAAAAATTTTATTTTCAAATTATTTGAAATAAGTGCGTGATCATTAAGTTTTGTTATATAAAATTTAAAAAATATAGAAGTTATAATTTATTGAAAGTGTCATAAACTATCATTCATCTAGCATTTGTATAGAGGTCTTTAATTCTAATATAAGAAGACAAAGAACATGCTATAATTACTAATTTAGCGACTAGTTCGTGTATAATTTCCTAAAAGTTTACCATTTTACGTACGACTAATGAATAGCTTCTCTTTTCTTTGACGTGTCTTTAACGTTTTCTTGAACATACAATAAAATATCATGCAAATGGTTATGATCATCATAGAAACTTTTTTTGTCTGAATTAAGAGCCAATACGTATCTGAAATAATATACTTTTCACTTTAATTAAGCTATACAAATATACAATACAAATACGATGTGTAACTGTGTGTGTAATATATATACATATAAGAAGCAAATGATACCCTGGTTAATTAGTTATTCGAAATTTTAGTCTAATAACTGTTGATGAATTAGTCGTATAGTCTTCTTTGCAATTTTTTTGTTTTTCCCCAACTAAATCTAAAAGCGAGTTTTTCCGATATAGAAGTGATCATCCCGGTGCTCTAGTTAGAATTCCGGCCAATCAGAGCAGCGACAGGACCAATAAAGGCGGCGTTGATGTAAGTTGTAGGCTCCGCATGGGCATAGTCAGTTCTTTTGTCGCTAAACTGGTCTGATGAATCCGGTCCACCCACAATTGCGCCGGTATGCACATTCAAGTTAGGCGTATCAGAATTGTAGTATGAAAACCCTCCATTGCAGTCTATTTTCTCCGGTTTAGATTTGATCGACGGTAAAGATGAGCCTCTATGATGAGGTTGTGTTGGGTACTTTGACCCGAATCCGACCATGTAAGACATTTTCATCGGATTATTTCCAAGAATGTAATCCACCTGAAAATTAAACCAGTGGGTTATAAAATGGAAATGGTGTACAAAACCGGACTAGGGGGTGATTTAATTACCTGTGATTTGGCGAAACTATGTATTTGAGATACCGTGAACCGGGTTGACCCGCATTGGATTGAATCAATCTTGGCTTTGGTTAGAGTTTTTGAGTATTGGAACAAAACCGTTGTAGCGGTTGTCGCGTATTGTAAGTTGCTACTATCTCTAGTAAACAAAAGGCCACCTGATTAAACAAAAAAGAACAAACACACATAACCGTAAAAACCAACGGACTAAAAGAAAATAAAAAAACATCGGTTATCTATTTAACCAGTGAAAATTACCAGGAGTTTGTTTAATTTGTTGAGAGCTACTTCCTGGCATCAATGCGCAGACAAACGACTCAACATCGTTCTTAAATTTTTCCAAATCTTTTCTTCCATTGTAATACTCCTTAAAAATAGAAATCAACAAGAAAAATTAGCCTAATTGTATCTGGTTATAGAATTTAGCGAACCTTGGTATATATTGTTTATTTACTAACCGATGCTAGTAAAGCCTGAGCGCCGGCAAATTTACTGTCCCAACTGAATTCATTCACAGCTTGGCTCCAACCTTGATTGCTTATAACATAAGTTATGTACTTCGTCTCTCCTGTTGCTTTATATAGCCAAGCAGCAGCCCATAATAATTCGTCCTTTGGTACCAAACAACATATTGAAAAATAAAGTATATTGTTATTTCAATACAAAAGACATAATGTAAAGTTCATTTATATAACATATATTATAACAACTTGTACAAGTATATAATATGAAAATATTTCATAGTTGTACTTTATCTATGTGTACCGGTTTATTTAGGTATAGTTACCTGGTAGCCTGAGTAAGAGCAGTAGAAAGGGCAAGATGCCTGGTATGAACCTCTGTACTTATCAGCAAATTCAAAGAGCTGCGGAAAATAGATAAAAATAAGTTACATGAAATAATAATGTTTATGATCGATTAACCATACAGAATTTAATTAACCTTATGATTGGAATGTAATGATAAAAAAAAAACTATTTTGGAATTAAGTTGTATATATACTCACGGATTTTGCATGGCTTAGTAACTTGGATGAATAATTAGAATTGACCGGTTTAAACACAATTGCGGCAGAGGCAAGAGCAGCTGCGGCTTCACCGGCAGCTTCAGAACCCGGAGAAGAGGAAGAAATCTTGTAGAGAGTTCTTGCTGTATCCATATCTTCTGGCCTCTCCCAACAACTATGATCTGAATTCCCATCTCCTACCTTTTATGGCCATTGTAAAAGAAAAATTTAAGAAATTAAGCGAAACTCTATATTTAGCAGATGAACCCGACTTAGGTGGTGTGTCCAATTCAATTCAATAATTGTAAATAAGAAAATAACCAAATGCAAACATCATTTAACTTGAATGCGGCGGTTTTAGATTACTTCTTTTGGTAATGGAGATCAAAAAAAAGTATTTGAGTACAACAACAAATAATTTGGGATTTTCTTATACTGAAAAAGGCATCAGTCTCATGCCTCTGCCCTCTAAATATAATAACCACAAGATATATGATAACCATTAACCAAAACATAACGGCTTGGTTGGTTTAGATATCATTAAGCTGGAAAGATAAAAGGAATCACCTGTGTATATAGTGTGGTGGGGGAAGTATGAGCTCGGAGAATAAAATCGGTTGCCCATTTGATAGAAGATCGGAGATAGCCGAGCTGGTTTTTGGAGGAAATCTCATTTTCGTATTCAATCGCGGCCCAACTCAATAAGGTTGTCGTAAATGACATTGGCCACACAAATTTTACATTGTCACCTGCATCATAATACCCTCCAATCAAATTGACCTGGTAAAATCACAAGAAAAATTGGTTAAGAGATATAATATAATGTTTTTTAATAATGTTAAATTATATATTGATGAGACTAATGGAGTTTACATGATCTGGTTCACCGTCAGAGAGGGCAGAATCGGCTCGCCAGTTAACCCGTTGTTTAACCGGGAGTTTACCGGATCGTTGGCCTTCAAAGAACAAGATGGACTTGTTTAGTGCATCTCCATAATCAAGAGCTTCCAAGCTTTCGAAAGCCATGAAAATGCAAACTAACATTATCACCAAGAGCTTGCCCATTATTAGTTATCACTTTTTAGAAATGTTTCTTTTTTAAATGTCTTTTGGTGTATCTTATTTTTGCATGAAATGGTTCATGGGGGGTATTTATAGATATTGCATGCAAGTAAAGTTGCGTACGTGGTTTCGTTTTGTGAGCTGTCCACGTAATTTTAGGGTTATTTGGCTGCACTTTTTTTTTATAACCATTTGGTTGCACTGTTCTCTGTTAAATTGTTCTTTAACAAGAATGAAGTTTCGATGATTACGGAATTACAATAAAAGGTTTTCAATATAACAAGTTGTCATTTTTGACGTAGATTAATGTATTTTCTGTTGTATTAAGGTTTATAGGTTTTTTATTTAATGTACGATTTGCAAAATGCACTCTTAAATAAGGTTTTTTAGAAACATTTAGTTTGATTATTCATATTCGTTTAAATAAAAACTATTTTAAAATGTTATATTTCATATATGAAAGTTACAACTCAATAATGTACATATCTTTCATATATATGAGTTTGCAAGTTATGGAGTCATGGAGACCATCGTATCGTATTTGGATTAATAATTCAGGTTTATCCAATTTTATGGGTTTTCAGCTAAAAAAAACAGTTAGTTATGACTTATGAGTGAATTTACATCTTTTGGCATCAAACTTATTATTTTAATAAATTTCTTATCATATATAACGGCTTTCTAAGAAATGCATATTCACAAACAGGTTACGTTATTATTATTAATACCAAGCCTTAAAGTTGGAAGGTCTTATTTTTTGTTTATATATATATATACATATATATATATTCTGGGAAGTATGTTTTCTTTTCGAATATAATAAAGATTGTCCAAGTTTTTGATTTACAAGGAGTCAAAATCAATACACCGGTTCCATGCCTAGACTTTTGGATATACAAGCAAGTAATAAAGAATGACACCAATATTTGTTTTTCATTGGTAATTATCCCGCTATCCAATAATCCAAGTTCTAACTATACAAACAAAAGACATTCTTCCCTGAAGAAAAAAAATGAAAAAAATCCTATATATAACTGATTAGAGATTTTCATGACAGCAAAAAAAAATTTCTTTCTGATACGAAGCAAACATATAATACTAAAATTGCATTAGACAAAACATAACATTGGCAGTGTGCAAATAGATTTGCTTGGATTATGGTAAAAGGAAAATATGATCTAAAAATAAGCAGGAATCTTGTCTAAACGCAACCGCTGGCATTTATCACGTTTGGAACTACCTAGTGGTAGACAATGATATGGTGATGCCGTGCCGTAGAAATGCCTGTATAAAATATTTAGTACCCATTCCTCAAAACGTCAATCTAAGATTTTTCGTTAGTTATTTTCCTTTCAGTTGTGATAAACTAATTTCATTTATTCATTACTATAAACAAACTATTCGTTGTTCCTGTTTTCCTGCAAGCCTATTGCGGAAATTTCTTGCGTGTTGTTCATCGTACGTTGTTGGTTTTCTTTCTAGTCATTTGTTAGATAAAGAAACAAAAAGGAACCCAAAAAGAGACGGCTCATTTCTACAGATTTGCTATCTATATCTATACTATTATAAACTGAAAAAAACACCAATAATATATTCGATTATCTGCTTCAATTCGTTAAAACGTAAGAAAAGATGTTACCATGCGCATCTAGAAGTGGAACCATTGTATTTCATTTATACCTCTTTAGTTTGTTCATGTGATAGTGATACTATTATGCTCTATAATTCTGTTTTAGACGTTCTTACAATTTATTACTACTATATATGCTTATTTTGCCTACTCAATCTATGCCAAAGGAAGATCTTTATAGATGTTTTCAACCCCAAAGAAGTTTTTATAGTTACAACATAAAAGATTTTAATTTTGTTTTTTCATTAAATTTTATCCCCTAATTCAAATGTATGTTTGGATAATTCGAATTAGTGGATGAAAGAAAACGAAGTAATGAATTGGAGGAAAGTAAGGTGATGGGCCTGATGGCAAAGCATGTGACAAATTTTTATGGCCACTATTCTATTTTTGCCTAACGCAACTTCGTGTACGTTACATCTCCCCATTAATATTGCGTTAATTGCTCCGCCAAGCACATTTACATGTATGATTTACTTTCTACTATATGATACAAAAAATTATCAAAACTTTCAATAACAGTCACTGACAGAAAATAAAAAAGGAAATATCGTATTTATAGTATAGAGAGATCATTGTTCTTCATCTCGCACCAAATTGGACTTAACTATGTAAACTTTAAACTGTAAGGAATGGAAGGGGCCGCGCGAACGCAGGCCCCCACTGCCACAAATAATGACGCAGGCTCTCCCACTTGGGGAGACCTTAAGCTAAGCACCCCTCCGATATGTGCAATGGAGGTCACTAGCTTAGGCCACTCTTCTTCTTGATCAAGAGTCGACCCCGTCCAGGTAAGTACCTTTCAATGGTCGATACAGGTCTTATTTTATACTACGCCACAGACGAGTGTCCCATGTAAAGTTTCCGATGTGGGAGAAGCGAATGCAAACTTTGATTCTTTGAATAGCCCTTGTTCTAGACCTTGATGGCCTCACAAATTCTGGCCCAAATCATACCCATCCACAAATTTTGTCTGAAAGTCAAAGAGATACATACATGGTAATTTGTTTGGGGGATGATAAGAGAGTGTTGATTAATAAATGGATATTTGATGGTCGACTTATAGTTATAGTTTGCCCCTTATGAAACAATTTCACAAAAAGATTGTCTTCCCTGATGTTTACCAAGCCTATTGTTTAACAAAGAAGATCCTTAGCGTTTGTCACTAAGAAAGAATGGAACCTACACTTTGTTAGATTCTACTTTGTTAAAAACAGGTTATGAAACTAATAGCCTAGAAGTATTATCTTAACCTAAAAGTTCACCATCAGTGAATCCTCTAACATTTGGCATTTTATCATTGATTATATAAAGTAAGAACATATTCTTTTGTCATCAAGTTTGAACAAATTGATATGCAACTACTTAAATTGACCTTACCACATCCACTTGACACAAATGTAAGTTGACTTTCCATATAAATATACACGTATTTGGATATTCCAATATAAAGTTCTACAAAACCGGGAGGAAAAAAGCTTATTGGCTGTTAATTTTGAATCAGTCAAATTGAAAAGTAGAACCAGCACTAACAATAATGGAGTTCCAACTTTCAATTATTATTTTTTTGTTTTTTGGGGACCATTGAATAGTAATTTATGCAACAGACATAAAAACAAAAACTTCATTTGACGGCTATTAAGAGCTAAAAACACATGTTTGACATAAAAAAATTACATACTGTATATGGCCATAAAGAAAAGGTAACAAGCCATTGTCTAAAATAACAAAACAAAGTCCTAACAGAAAATGCTATTCAACGAGGATTAACACTGGTGATTGTTACATCATCTACCGAACAAGTAAAAGACTTGCTGGTAAATTGGCTCGATCCCGACTCTTGAGCTAATGAGTTTGCTCCTGGTCCGTTCGGGAAGAAAAATCCAGGTGGCTTAGGTGCATGCAGACTAAGTGAACTGTTTGTGAGCATCTGGTGAATTTCCGACATTGCTGGACGATCTGTAGGGTTTTCTTGAACGCATAGTAGTCCGATATGGATACACCTAATGACTTCATCCTTTTTACTGTCGTCTCCGATACATTCTTCTTGTATGCTCGGATCTGTGAGTTCATGCAATGAATTTTTCTTCCATAGTTTCCAAACCTGTAATAATAATTTTCATATTTGTTATGATCTCTTGTTTAAGAAAATTTAAACAAAGTTTGAGACATGATTAGTCCATAATTACTCACATAAGTGACTAAGTTGTTAACAGAACCATCCATGCGGTGGAAGCTGCTGTTCTTTTTGCCGCTAATGATCTCAAGTATCAATACTCCAAAGCTATAAACATCTGATTTAGTCGAGAATTCGCCATGATTCACATACTCAGGAGACATGTAACCGCTGCAAATTAATATAACAGGAAATGTTTAATTCTGTTATTCAGCTAAAAAAGCGTTTCTTGATCGCTCTTTCTCAATTTAAGAAGTATATACACACTTACAAGGTTCCAACCACTCTCCTTGTATTGGCGCCACCTTGGTCCATTTCAAATATCCTTGCCATTCCAAAATCAGAGATCTTGGGGTTCATTTTTGCATCTAAGAGAATGTTACTCGCTTTAAGGTCACGGTGTATGATTGTGAGCCGTGAATCTTGATGAAGATATAGAATCCCTCGAGTAATCCCATTGATGATTTTGTGTCGCACTGTCCAGTCTAGCTGAGCTCTTTTCATAGAGTCTGCATATTCAAATGTTACCTCATTAGCCATATTTTCAAAATACCCTATGTAGAGGCGAAGACGTATATGTCAAGTTAAGACAACATACCGAATAAGAAATAATCAAGGCTTTTGTTGGACACAAACTCATAGACGAGTAACTTCTCTTCTCCTTCCAGTGAGTAGCCAAGAAGCCTAACAAGATTTCTGTGCTGAAGCTTTGCAACGACAAGAACTTCGTTCTTGAACTCTGTTTCACCTTGTCCTGACGTTTTCGAAAGTCTCTTCACAGCAACTTCAGTTCCATCTGGGAGCACACCCTTTAAAATATATACAAATATCAAACACTTATTTTCACTGTTTGTCCCCAAGAAAACAAGGTGCACAAATTAAGATCTTACCTTGAAGACGTCACCAAATCCACCTTCACCAAGCTTGTTACTCTCAGCAAAGTTGCTCGTAGCAGCTTCAATCGTTTTTAGATCAAGTTTTACAGATTCAGCTTCATTTAAGACCAACATCAAGCTTGTCAATAATATTCCAAAACTTGTGAAAAAGGAACCAAACCAACAAATGGTTAAACAAAATAAAAACAAGGAACTTACTCTGAAGTGTATTTGCTTGGTTTTGCTTTCTCCTCTTGAAAATAACTATGCCTAAAGCAATCAATATTATTGCAACCACAATAACAATAACAATTGCCGCCACAACTCCACCAGAGATTCTTTTATCTGCATAAAACCCAATCCATACCAAGAAACATGATTACACGAAGCCAAAAAAAAAGTTGTGAAAAATTTGCTCTGAAACGTTACAAAATGACTTGCCTTTCTTGATTGTATATTGGCCTGGTTTGTTACAGAAGACGGCGGTGAAGGCGGAGGTGATGTTGCGTTAGTAGCACTATCAAAAGCACCAGAGAAACGATACAGTTCCCACCGGAAAAAGCAACTCGGCCGCAATATAATCACACCTCTCTTCCCAGGGTACCATCTCTTATAGTAATCAACGCTGCTCTCTAGCAAAGTTTGCAATCTTCTGAAGAAACATCTGGAGTGCAATGCATCAACACCGATATGTCCCCGTAAACCGGCACCGGAGATACATCCTTGGCATAGTATCTACCAGGAGATGATAAAGAAGAAGAAGTAGACGAATTGTTTCTCACCGAGGAAGAAGCTCTGTGACCATACGAGACATTAACCTGTCCCACACACTATCAAATTCCTCCGGAGATTTTTTCTATGTCCATGTAATTGAAAAACACTTGATACGGCTCCAAGACGAGTAAACCGGAGAAGGATCGGTTAGAGTAGCGAACAAGGCAATGGATCTCTTCACCGAACCATATGAATGCGTTGGTCTGGTTCAGACAGACCCTGTAGCAAATTTCCGGTTGCGTCGTTGATACAGGATGAGCAAGCACCGGGTGCAGCACCTGGAGCGCACATCCCCATGGCGTAGACTCTGTCGGGACCTACCCCGGTCGAGCCGTTGAAGTAGCCGTCTTGAGCCGTGACGTTAGAAGCCAGAGTAGAGAGGACGAGAAGACGATTCTTGTCGTAAGAACTATTGAGTGTGAAACGCCCATCAGTTTCGTTACAGATTTGATTTTGTGCAGAAACAGAAATGGCACTCAAGGTTATGAGCAAGAAACAGAGGATTGATACAGAGTGATACAGAGCTCTTCTTTCCCATTCTTTTTTTTTCTTTCTTTAGAATTTTTTTTTTTCAGATATTGTGCGTGTTGGAATGTGTGGATTTTATCAATTTGTCCGGAAGTTTGAATATTGCACTTGAAAGGACCATATACTGCCGTAATAAATTGACTAGTTTGGATTTCCGTAGGAAAAGTCATCGTTGATATTAAAGTCTCTTTTAACGTTTCATCTTACTGTAAGAATGTAAGCCAACTCGATTTTTGGGCTTGGGACTCCAAAAAAAATTGAACTGTTAGGAATGGAAGGGGCCGCGCGAACGCAGGCCCCCACTGCCACAAATAATGACGCAGGCTCTCCCACGTGAGGAGACCTTAAGCTAAGCACCCCTCCGATGTGCAATGGAGGTCACTAGCTTAGGCCACTCTTCTTCTTGATCAAGAGTCGACCCCGTCCAGGTAAGTACTTTCAACGTTCGATACTGTCTTATTATATACTAAGCTACAGAGGAGTGTTCCATCGTAAAGCTTCCGATGTGGGAGAAATGACATTTGCAGTCTTTCGTTATCTGACTAGGCCTACTTTATACATTTGATGGGCCTCACTCGAAGGTTATTAATATTACAGCCCATATCTTGCAAACGTAGCTATGTATGTGTTTTGTACATCGGCATGACTTTGTTTTTATCTCCACTGACTTTTAGGAATCACAACAGAGACATGAAAATGTGAAAACCATCAAAGTAAAAAGGTTCACTGAACTTATTATCAACTTTCAAGAACTACTTTCTCCTGGTTGCGAATCGGTGAGCTTATTGCTGAAATCCCAAACTTTCTTGGCCAATTCTGAATCTTTGGCGAGTGGTAATGGTTTAGCAATGTTGCTGTCTAAGAAGTATTCCCCTGTAACCCCTGAAACCTCAGGATGCAATGCCACATAGCATGTTGTTGCTGCCCCCTACAAAACCGACACTTTGACATGAAAACCAATAAACCAAAAATCAATCGCCAAAAGCTAGACCGGTCTATCCTTTAACCGGAGAAACCTTGTATACAGTTTGTAACTGATTGGTTATCACTGTGAGGTTTAGAAATTTAGAAGCATACCTGCGGAACAGATTTGAGAACATATTTAACCACTGCACCAACAGCTCCTGCATCAAGCCGGTGATAGAGAAGATCAGAAGAAAAATCAAAAGCAACCTTATACAGCATGAGGTGATGAGAGTTGGAATCAGAGTGAAGAAATTACCAGCAAAATAGATGTTTAAGTGGCGCCCGATATTTGTCGCAATGGCTCCTGGGTGGAGTGAGTTTGCTGTTATATTGGCTCCATCTTCCTGTTTTTATTCATACCATAACTGAATCAAGATAGTCGTCGAAACAAATTAATTCTTGATCTGATATATACAATGTTCTTTTGGTATCTACCTTGAGTTTCTTTGCAAGCTCGTTGGCGTGCAATACGTTGCAGAGTTTAGACTGACCATAAGCTCGGAAACTACTGTAAATGCAGTGACCAAGAAAGTACGAATATTAGTTTTGGAAGAAAAAAGACAGGATCAAGAATAATGACTATTTGCCTATTTGGTTCACCATTAGTACCTTGACTTGCATTGATCTTATTCTTATCTAAGCGGACTCCTTCAGGGTAGGAGTACTTATGAGCTTCTGAAGATAGATTAACGATCCTTCCTTCTCTTTTGCTTTCACGTGATGTGTTCTTCATTGTGTCTAGCAGAAGTTTCGTCAGCAGAAAATGACCTAAAACACAATTGGTTCACAAAGGCACTGATTTAAAAAGTTAATGATAGTATATAGATTTAGCACAAAGAAACTGATCATGATGGATTAGTTATATGACTCACCTAAATGGTTGGTTGCAAATTGGAGCTCGATGTTGTCCTTAGAGAGCATAAAAGGACATGCCATTATTCCAGCGTTGTTGCTGAGTTCAAAACATTAACCGTCAAAATTATCCCCAAATCGCTATACATGAACAACTGTATTTCGGAGAGCTTACATCAAGAGGTTGAGTGGAAGACCGGTAGATTTGTAGTCAGATGCAAATTTCCTGACAGAATCCATTGAGCTGAGATCTAACTCCATGACATCAAGTTTAGCCCCAGGGACTTGGTTCACAATATCTTGTTTAACTTTAGCACCAGAGCCAGTGTTCCTCACAGCCATAACCACGTGGACACCACGCAGTGCAAGAACACGCGCTGTCTCTACTCCTATACCACTTGAAGCTCCTGCAAACATATGAACACAAATGAAAGATAACTCAACGAACCAAATGCGTCCAGCAAGCTCAATGCAGGATAGTTCATATCCATTTCAGTGCACTGATACAGAACATTTCCTTGCTCCATATGTCTATTAAAATAACAACAGCAATTATGATAAAATAAAAACTCAATAAACCAAGAAAATAAGTAAGATTTTACATACAACACATTACTATGGCTTGGTCGATGTCTTCAACATCAACCAACTCTAATTTATATGCAACTTTTGTGATGTCATCAAGATCACCAACTCTTGTTTAAACTAAAACGATTCGGTTGCTATTGATTTTGAGGGCCTTTCCAAAATGATCAAACCTATAAAAAAAATATTCAAGTATATCAACAATTCACAAGTGGTGGAATAAGTTGCGATTGAAGCAAACCTGTGACTATGGCAGTGAGGCCAGTTCCATCAACTCCATGTGTAACTTCTTCTGCTGTGGAACGAGACGAGAATCCAGATGCTCCTTTCGATCCAAAAAACCACATTTTGTTTTCTTCTTCAGGAAAGTGGAGAAAAAAAGAAAAAGATAATAATCAAAGACTGTGAGAGAGTTGTCAACGATTTTGCTTCACCAAGCGAAACTTGTTTGCCTTTTGGGCTGATTGCTTAACAGAGCATAGAAGATGTTTTCAGCTATAGCTACTCTGGACTTGCTCATCTGAATCTAAACTCTTTCTGTCTGATTGGTTTTATGATAAAAGTAGATGAACAGATAAGCGGGGGACCTATACCAATTAAGTTACTAGCAGCCAGAGTCTGAAAATAACATCTTCAGAAGATCAAAGCTATGATTGATCCTTTCGAGGTATTTAATGAAATTTGAACTATTAGGTATGGAAGGGGCCGCGCGAACGCAGGCCCCCACTGCCACAAATAATGACGCAGGCTCTCTCACTTGGGGAGACCTTAAGCTAAGCACCCCTCCGTTATGTGCAATGGAGGTCACTAGCTTAGGCCACTCTTCTTCTTGATCAAGAGTCGACCCCGTCCAGGTAAGTACTTTACAATATTCGACACTTGTCTTCTTTTATACTAGGCTACAGAGGAGAGTTCCATCGTCAAGCTTCCGATGTGGGAGAAGCTATTTAAGATTTCACTATTGTATACCTTGATGGGCCCTTCTTAATGTGGCCCAAAGAGAATCCATTTGAGATATCAGTATTCTACTCTGGTCCTTGGCTCGTCACATTTGAGATGATCAGTGTGAAACCAATCTCCTAAATTTACCTTGTAGAACATGTTGCACGAGTTATTAATCAAGTTATGTTTCATAACATAAAAAGTTTATCTCTTGATAGTTCTAATAAATCGGAATTCAGACAATTGCAAAACTAATTACATTGTAGTGACAGTTACTTTTATGTTTTCATGGCTGGAAAAAAAAGGTTTCCTCTGCACATACACGTCTTACTAAACTAGTTGGAGGCTTAGAGCATATATATTGTTACTGTCATCCACATCTTAGTTAATCTGACTCTTTTAAACAACAACAAAAATGGTTTTTCATTTTATTAACAAAAATTTAGGCTCTGTACAATATATTTATAAGTTGAGACCAAGAGCTGAACTGCGAAGTTTTAAATCATTAAATTATCACTTTTTTTCAGTAATATTGATCTCTCCCATGCCACCACCTCGACCTACATCCCGCCAAAAAAATCAAACCATATATAAACGTATTTTCAATATAAAAAATATTAGGAGCATTGCTTTCTTGTAATTAACCTCTAGAGAGTACTTTATCAAAAAAAGAAAAAAAAAACCTCTAGAGAGTTAATAAGAAATAATTAAAATCTCACCAGGATTGTTCCCAACCGGGTCGAGATTTGGACATGCCGTAACGTCCGTAAGGGAAACCGTAATTTTGAGGCCGTTTGGCGTTTTTGAACGCACAGCAACCAACGCAGTAAACCGCGATGAGGAAGAGAACAATGACGACGTTCACTATAGAGAGTTTATGCCAATCGCGACGCACAGTCTCTAAGACACCAGCTCTACACGAATCACAGTCGTAACAGAGCACCGTCGCGACGTTATTCCACCGGTAACAATCGGAGTCTTGCTGCATCGCCGTGTCCCCGTTGTATACGCATGACGTCGGTGGTTTGCAGCATCCAGACTGTTTCCCAATATCGAATAAAAAAAGAAATTTTAACAAAAAAAATAATAATATGAGCAATAATTCATTTTTATGATACCGTAACAACCAACTAATGAACTAAGTCATTAATTTTTAAAATATAAATATTTATAATTTTCTAGTAAGTTAAGTGACAAGCTAACTAATTATACTAGATCATAACATGTTGTTTGTTACGACATAGACTAATAGGAGTACCTGAAGTGGAGACAAATCCTTTTGGAGATAATCAATAGGAGTCCAAAGAGAGAGCTTGGAACAAGTGAGTGAGCCCAAGAGACAAGTCTTTATAGTCAACCAATAATTAGCATCCGTAACTCTCGTCTTAAGCCATGGATGATATTCTTCAAGCTTAAACTCTTTATAAACCCTACCAGTCACACCCACACCACCACCATGGTTAGTTACAATAAACCCAAAAAGGGTCAAACCCATGAGCGCAACTATGATGATAACCATGAAGAAAAGGTACACCCACAAGACCCACGCCACGTCACAGCATGCACCGATCAGACCAGCTAGTGACAAGACCAAGATCGCTAGGCCTAAGACCAGAAGTGGCTTCTGAAGGAAATGCTCGCATGTTGTCTTGCTCTTACCCATCCATAGAGCTGATCCTATTAAAACTATGGAGGATATTAGTGTTAGGATGTTCAAGAATCCTAACACTGTGTTGCTCATTCTATTCATTTTCACTCTCTTTTCCTATTATATCAAATTTGGAATGATCCTCTGAATCTTTTTGTGTGTATGTGTTTCTACTGGCTTATCTCTGTCTCTCTCTCTGTATCTTAATCACATATGCTTCAGCTACTTTATACTTGTGATTTTTATATATAAACAATATAAAAGCAATGTTGTTACGTATGATTGATTTTCAAAAAAAAAAAAAGAACTCAGAGGAAAACAAAAGAAAAAAGTTGACGAAATTATTCTCTTATCTTTTTATCTAATTTCTTGATGTTTGCTACTTTTTATGTGATAGTGTATGCGTCTTCACTTGCTTTAGTTTCATCGCTTTTGAAATTTTTATCTGGCTTTACCTTTTTCTCAATCTATTTATATTTAAAATTATGAATTATTCCTTTTTTTATTATTTCTTAGATGTGGATCCTTGAAACTTTATATCATCATATCAATTCAAAATGTTGGTCGAAAGTCTTTTTCTTAAATATAGGCTTTTATGTTTTTTGGTTGGAACTTGGCGATTAAGAAACCTTTATCAGTTCGACTATCGATAAAGAAGAGTCCATACTTGACAAAGTGAGGATAATCTCAAGCCAAACTTCTTAACCATTAAGTAACTTTTCCCGCCCAACTTTTATATTATCATTTTTGTTCATGGATTAATCTAAAGTTTTATATACGTGGCCACAATAGTCTTAACTTTGAACATTTAATTTAGGATACAACTTTGAACAATTAAAATAAATTTTTTATTTCTAAACTACAATTACATCATGATCGTTAGTATTCATTGACTTAAGGGTTTTGTTTTTGTATTGCAAGGTATACGATGCTAATCAACTTCTTTTCTTCTAGTCACAATCAACCTTTTTTCTTGATCCAATAGATCACCATTGTTAATTTTCATTGGTCACAGGTTGAAGGCAGAAAGATTAAGGGTTTCCCAAAAGGTAAAACAACAAACAATTCTGATCATTATTTTGTTAGATAAGTATAAATAAACGACACGACTGATATATGAACAAAGGCAAATAAGTACTTATTATCTTAAGGTCAAGCTCAAGCTGAAATCTCACACTTTCTTGGACCAGTTGCTGCATCAAACATGTAAAAGATGTAACTAGATCTGGTTCTTTGATTCTGTCACTGGAAGTCTGGAACTCTACTATGTGGAAGAGAAGCAAGATTCTGAGGTTACACCATGTCCAAAATGTAGTCTACCGAGATACAATTCCATTGACATAATTACTTGTACATATACATTACAACGTAACAAGAGACAATTCCTCAATTCCATTGGTACATGATAAATTACACATATAAATCACAAGATCAAACTCCACTGGTAGATAGAGATCACACAAGAGACATAAGAGATAAGAGGAATGCACATAGAATAAATAAAAGATTAAGACATTTTTTCAGCTGAGAAAACGTGTGGAAGTTTATGTCTTAGACTTGAAAGGAATGGCTCTGATGACTATCTGATGGTACAGAGCAGCAAGAGCAGCACCAATGAATGGACCGAGCCAGAAGATCCACTGCACACACAGCAAACAGAGGATTACAACACATCAAAATTTCATACTTATTACGCTAAGCACAACCATTGATGTGACTAAAGAGAGAAACTTACATGGTCGTCCCAAGCATGACTCTTGTTGTAGATGATGGCAGCTCCAAGACTCCTGGCCGGGTTAATGCCGGTTCCAGTGATTGGAATAGTGGCCAAGTGCACCAAGAAGACAGCAAACCCAATTGGAAGCGGAGCCAAGATCTGCAGAATGTTCAACAACCCAAAACACATATCAGTTTACGTTCTATGCCATGAATATGAACCAAAACCAAGAATAGGAAAAATTTGCAAACATACAGGGACATGGGAGTCTCTGGCACTTCTCTTAGCATCAGTAGCTGAGAAAACAGTGTAGACAAGAACAAAAGTTCCGATAATCTCTGCACCAAGACCTGAACCTTTTGTGTAGCCATGAGCCACCACGTTGGCTCCACCTCCATTAGCCTGGTATGGTCCTGTTTGAAAACCTTTAACCACACCAGCACCACAGATAGCTCCAAGGCATTGCATCACTATGTAGAAGAGAGCTCTTGTTAAAGATAGCTTCCTCGCCAAGAACAATCCAAACGTCACCGCCGGATTAATGTGTCCTCCTGTTGATTACCAAACACAGTTTGCCGGAAAAAATCAGAATACAAAAATTTAAAACTTAATTAATCGAATTTTCAAACTCAAACCAAGAAATTGGCAAATTTCTCACAACTATTCAAGATTTCTTCAGTTCTTGATTCGGAGGCAAGAAACCCTAACCTGAGATTCCGGCGGTACAGTAGACAAGAGCGAAGATCATGCCGCCGAAAGCCCAAGCGATGCCTTGGATTCCGACAGAGGCGCACATGTTGGGAGCTCTCTTGACGCCCATGACTGTCAAAACGGTGATGTAGAGGAAAAGGAAAGTGGCGATGAACTCGGCTATGCCGGCTCTGTAGAAGGACCACGATTTGAGCTCGCCGGGTTCGAAAAACGGCGCCGGAGGAGGTTCCTTGTAGTCTTTGCTGTCCGTCTGCGCCGCCGTACCGATCGGCTGTCTCTCCGGGAACTTGTTAGCTCCCACATTCACGTCCTCTTCTTTGCCCTCCATT